GCTAGTAAATGTGCAGGGTAGAAAAGGTGAAACCTTTGTGGCAATTTTGCTACCTATTCAGCTCTTCCCATAAATGGATTTAAGCACATGAGGTTCATGGCTTCATCAAAAAGAAAAAGAAAAAAAAAGGAAAAGAAAAAAGAAATTAGCCAAACTCTGGATGCTGCAGGATACAGACCATAACCCATTGGTTCACATTTGATGTTCTGAGCTTTCTCTTGGAGCATGACATACGAGTTAAGGCATTATTATGTCTTCTTTATCAAAGTATGTGTTTTTATGTGTGTGTGTGTGTGTGTGTGTGTGAGGCAAACACAGACAGATGGGAAGGTGGTGAGAGCCAGAGCATGCAAGAAAGTGCACACACTAAACATGTTTACAGTAACCAGTTAATCTGAACATTTCCCGGTGGAGCTGGCAGCAGCACAGCCAGTGTGCCTCAGTGCCCTAACGAGGACGTGCCCTTGCCCTCCCCTGACTGTTCTGGCAGGCTCTCCTTGTGCTTCCCACAAGTGGGGCAATGTGTGCCTCCCCCTAATCCCTGATCCAGCAGTGCTGGGCTAGAGCACAGGGTGAACAGGAAGCCACGCACAGGCACACTGCTCTGTGTGCAGGGCTTTGGCTCTGGGGCACCACAAGCAGCAAGTAATCACCCAGGGTCTCCTGCAGAGAGAAATGTTCGGCTCCTGCCTCCCCTGGAAAACACTGTTGGTTCTAAGTTTAGCAGTTCTTCTTGCAGGTAAGATGGTCTTGAATATGAGTAACAATTATTTAAATAGGGTTGTTTCAGAGAAATGAAGGACCTGCTTGGGAACCCAGCCCTGAGTGGCCCCAAAGAGGTGCTCACATTGCTGTTTCCAACAAATCAATATTTGTACTGATTATTCAGAATTGAGGCCTGATCACCTCAGGTATGCAAGCTGGTACTAGGACTGTGGGATAGGATACAGGCAGGGTAGAAGGAGAGTTCCTCTGCACAAGTGGGATTTGGGGTTTGTTCATGTGTCATGACCTAGCTAAGTACCTGCTTCTGCTTGTCTTTTAGATTTTACCAAAATCCGAGCTTTTGCCGGTCAAAGCGAATGCAAAAGTACAACCATAGATGATGTGAATGGGTTTCTCAAGGTAAGAGGTTGGCTGACCCAGGGTCTGTTCTGCACCCACCTCCTGTGCTGGTGGGTTCCTGCTGTGTCTGCCTGCCCTGGCTGGGCAAGCACAACTCGTGTACTGCTTTGGCAATGTACAAAGTACACGCTGGGGAGGGGAGGCACACGCAAGAGCAGAAAAACATCAGTGTCATCTGACTTACCACAGCTTTGCTCCTGATACTGCTAGTCCAAAAAGTGTCCTTGTAGATATATTTTCCAGTTTGGCCCCACTCCAGATACATAAAGTGGCTTGAACATAAGCAGTATAGCGAGATAAATAACAATAGCTACCTAGAAATACATGAGCTTCTTTATGTTCACAGATATGTTAATTCTAAGGCTCCAACGTTTTCTTTTTCAACTTAGACTTTTTCTCCCCTATCTCCACAGAAATTTTCAAAATGCATGCCTGAAATCATTGCCAAGGGTGAAAAAGCTTCAGTCAATTTCCTGGCATGGACACTGCAAGAAACTCTTGATCTGCTGCGCCCTGTTCAGGAGCAATGTGAGGCCCCTCCTGAGCCAACCCCTTTGCTGGGCGTTGAACAAAGGGGCAGAGCAGAAGCACAGAGGAAATTTTTTCTACTACAGAATGAACCAAGAGTCTGCATTTCTTTAGGGGAAGAGGAGCACAATATAAAAGATGTCTCAGCAACAGGGAGCACTGGGGCTGGGGAGGCAGAGCAGCACAAGCAGGGGGTCCTGCTGTCCCTGCAGCACCAGCACTGGTGCTCAGCAGCAGAACAGTCACAGGGCCAGCAGGGCAGGCTCTGCCCTCCAGCCAGAGCCTCTGTGCTGTCATGGAGCTGGCATGCCAGTCATATTTCTCCAAGAAATATTTGGATAGTTTTGGCCACAACAGCACTGAATGTCAGTGCTGTGAATGCAAATGCTGCAGTGAGCTGCCTCTAAAGTGTAACTGGGGCTGATTCTGTAGTGAGAGCGACAAGTGAGGGGAAAATTCAGTAGCTGTGGCCAAAAAAAAAAAATAAATTGGGGGGACAAAAAAATTTTAAACAAACAAAAATGCTTGCTTTGATGATATCAGCTGGTGGAGACAGGCCAATGAATTTGCTTGGGAAGGGGAAGCTTTTATGTCCACTTTCACTCTGATATATTATTTTCTTGATCTCTTTCTTTTTTCTTTTTATCCACCCAAAAGTTTGCAAGCAGCTACCTCCATGCCCACACCCAGTGGCCCCAAAAAACGGGGGGCTGGTGTGTGTGACCATTGACAACACTCAGTACTGCAAACCCATGTGCAACCAGGTAACATTCCTGCCTTATATATTGCTGCATCTCTTCCTTCCTTTACAACTGCTTATTTGGTAAAGCCTAATTTTCTTGCTATACTTTGTTTTATATCCCTCAGGGCTGAGAGAGGTTTTAGTGTTTGTGTTTACCTGCCCTGTTTCTTCCCCTTGCAGCTACCATGTCATGCCCTAAGAGAGTGTTTGTTTATTTTCTCCCCTCCCTGTTTCCCAAGGGTTATGACTTCCAGTTCCTCAGGAGCAGCAGGCTGTATGAGGAGTGTGGCAATGCCACAGGCTTCTCCTGGACCACGCAGCTGGTTGGGGAAAAGGCACTGGCAGTCTGCAGCCGTGAGTGCTCCTCAGATACATCTGTTCACACAAGGCTTCCTTGCTTCTGTTCAAAAAAATAGGAGGAAGGAAAAGTTTCTCTTTTCGTGACAGCCTTCTCATGTGTGACATTGTGAGAGCCAGTGCTGAGCTGGCAAATTTATGAGCAAGAAAACACATTAGCTTTAATACTCTCATGAAGGCACTGCTGTTTTATCTTGGGGTACTAAATATGGCATTTATGCAAATGTTTGTGGGAAGAAGGACCTGTTTTTAAAAAACCAGTGAATTGGTGTCACCCTCATACAACCCCTAAGGGTTGTGTGACCCACTGGACAGACAGCAATAGGACATAAAACTGTTTATCTTGCAACCATAGTTGAAGAATCTCAGCAAATTGGCCAACACCTGTATGTACACACAATAAAGCCCAGCAGCTGGGCCCCAGCCAGCAGTGCTGCCATCTTCATGGCAGCTCTGTATGGGACTGTAAGGCTCCTCCCATTGCTCAATCTGTGACCCAAAGCAGGCTCTATGACTCTGTTGTTACTGTCTTAATTTAAAAACAAATGTGCATATAGATACACAAAAAGCCCACCCTACCTCTCCTATGCTTAATGGAAAACATTTTACTGTTGACAGTGCCTAGCTGCTGGAGCAGTTGCTAGTTATTTTCCAAAGCTTAATAAAAGCAGGCATGAATCTGGGCACTTTTATTCCAAGCTGGAGACTTTAGTTTAGAAAATTGGAATGCCAGCACATATTTAAAGATCAGGACAAAGCTAAGCTAAGTGAATTCAGCTGCTTATTTATTTATTTCTTTATTTATATCTTTGATATTTTCCAGCCTCTGAGGTGGCCATCAGTGGAGCTAAATCTGCCTATTTCCCCAGCAACAGCACCTGTGTGCACACGGCTGCCTTCCCCGAGGCTCAGGCAGAGCAGCTGAACACCTTCCTGCAGGAGCTGGCCGAGCGCGGCATCGACGGCTCCAGCCGGGACCCGGGGGCTGACTGTGTCACCTGCGGCTACTGACAGCAGCCTGGGCACAGCCAGCCTCTCACAGCATCACAGAACACTGAAAGTGTGGCTAGTACCTGTAAACACACAGCTTTTATTTTGTTAAAGTCCTGGAGATCGTAGTCATGACCTCAGCTTTGGGTATCGATATATAGGCTAAATCTAATACTGCAGCTCATGGCAAGATGTCAAAGAAAGAAGACAACTTTTATGGCTTTAATTTGTCTAGCTGCAATTAAGCAAGATTTTTTTAAACAGTTTATTAATACATACCTTCCTATTGGCTTAAATTCTTCTGGATCTTGGCAGATAGTAACACTGATTGTTGTCAGAAATTGTCCTGTGTCAGGGGGTCTCTTTACTGAGAAGGGGCTGTACTTCCACTCACTTTTACAGCTGCCAGTTAATCACTATTATTGCTCTGATGACCATTACAGCTGTGTGAGTGACAAGAGTTCCTGGCTGTAGGGGTGCAATACTTTATTCACTTGCTTGCTTGACTGGGGCCTAGACCAGCAGCAGAAAACCTGTCCATTGTCCACAGCCCCCCAGGCACTGAGTGAAAGTGAAGATCAGAGGCAACTTATCACTGGTGATCCAGCTTATTTGTGGAGATGTAGCTACCAAACAGTATGCATGTGAATTATTGTGAAATATAAACAAGAAATTTAGATACTGCTTGCTTGGTTTTCAGTGGAATCTGTGCTTGAGGTAATATTTTAATTTTCTTCTGTTGAGCAAACAGTGAAGCTGTAGATCTGAAGACAGACTCATCTGTTTGTGTTTCCTTTCCCTTTTTTACCTTTCTCCTCTTTCTGTTGATCTCTCAGACACAGAGTTTTGTGGTACATGATGTAAAATTGGCCTTTACCTCATTTATCAGATAAATGATTCAAATATATATATTTACATACTTATATTTCAGGCTCAGAATTGAGTCATTACAAGCAAAAAACCCCATAAATAACCCCAGCTGCTTTAGGGCCCAGAGGCAGACAGTCATATGACAGTGAATGGAACAGATAATTATACCAGAAAAGGGATGAGTTGGCTGCTTTGGCTGCTTATAAACCATGTGGCAATAAATTAAGTCATTGTGTTGGAGACAAAAGTGCTGTAGTCTTAAAGAAAAACAATGAGTTTTGAATCACTAAATTTTGGGTTTTATTTATTTATTTATGGCAAACAAATGATCTCTATCAAATGAAATTATAATGTTTTTAAGTCTTTACAGCCAAATCATTATCAACCAATGCTCAGATAAAATATCTGGAGTACTTTTCAGTATAATTTTTCTGCTGGTGCTAAACCCCATTTTTTCCTCTCAATTTTGTTATTCTATTCTAGTGACTTTCCAAAGCAATCAACAAAAGAAAAGAAAAGTCATTCATATTTTATTTCACGAGGAAAGGAAGCTTGTAAACTAGCAGAAACTTTCATTTGTGCATCAGAAATCTTTATAGTGTCACACAGTGTGGAAGAATTAGGCTGGAAAGCTTTAATTATCATGTGTCATGAACCTGATATTAAGCTGGAGATTGGGTTGCTGGGATGTTTTTCAAAAACTTGCAGAGAAGAAATTTTGTTCTATTCCCACCACCTGAGTTATTATTTATAATGAGACAGGGAGTTGACTCAATAAGCCAATATGACACAGTTAAGAACTAAAGTAAATTTAATCGTGTTATTTCCCAGAGTACATTTGCATAATTTCATTCATGTAAATGGTTGCTGTGTGTTTGCATTAACTTCTTGTTGGTGTCTGGCCTGTCTGAGCATAGGACCATTTCTGCTCTAGCCCCAGGATGGGGTTTGTTCTGGCACTAGGGGGTTGAGGAAAGAGGAAAATTCATATAGAATGAAAGATCTTAATACCATTTTAAACCATTAAGTTTCCAGATCAAACAAGAGAAGCAGGAGAGGCTTACTTCTTGAAACATTCTCGGAAATTTTATTTTTTTTTTAGGTTTTGCAATACAACCAGACTAAACCACTGCCTCCCCAGAGTATCTTATATGCATTGGATAAATCCACCTGCACAAGTGTCAGTCAGCTAAAGGCTTTGGTAATATTTACAGTGTAACTATAGAGAGGGATATTAATTATTCCTGATATTAATTAAGGGAATACAGTGCTGCATTATCCTTACTTCTCTTTCAGTCCATTGTAACACAAGAGAAGAACTCAGTTCAGGAGCTGAGCCGAGAGCAGTAATTACAACCCAGCCAGAACATGGAAGGCAAAGTGTGGAGAACTGCAGCTCATGGCCCCAAAATCACACAATAAACTCTTCTCACAGAAACTCAGCAGCAGCAGACTGGCAGAGGCAGTGCTCTGGGGTGGCTCACAGGTAGTGAGAGTGACCTGAGAGGTGTTGTCAGTGTGAGCCATGCTGCCAGGGCAGTGCTGGAGCAGGGCTGGCTCACACCGAGCCCTGCAGCGAGATCTGTGGCACATGTCTCATCCTCCAGATCACCACCGCAGCTGGGGGCAGCAGCATCAGCACACTCATCACCAGCACTGCAGCAAAAATGACTAGCAGGATCTCCCATGGGGCCAGGACTGTTTCCACCATGATTTCCTCCATGTCAGGAGTCTGAAGCTGTAAAGCAAAAAATATGCTGCATTATTTACTTGCAAATAGGAGTTATGTCTGAATAGATGTGTTTATTAAAGCCAGCATAGGGGTGTGAGCCTCTTTGGCTTATTCCTTTCTCAGCCTAAAAAATAATCCCATTTCCTGAGCTGCAGACCCCAGAAGAGCTCCTGCTCTTTCTCTCTCTCTCTGTGCCTCCATAGGCATCAGCCTGCCTTTCCCCCTTGGCTCAGCTGCAGTTGTTGGTGCTGGTGTGGACACCCTGTCCACCCTAAAGCACTGTTCCTAACCCTTGGCTAAGCCTTTCTCTTTACAATTTCAATTTTTAAGGTCGTCCTCTCCCACTTAGAGCATCATTACACAAAATGATTGTTATAGTGATATGTAGCAAAACTAAAACTGAAAATAAAAGAATATGATGGAAAGGAGAACTGGAAATTGAACTGCCATCAGAATGCATATTTTATCTTTTTCCAAGGCTTTAGAAAGAGCAGGGTGCTTAGGAAGGAGTTAGTGTGTTGATTCTGTTAAGTGCGAATAGGTGTGTCCTAGGGAATGCAGTGTTCAATGCCATTCCTGCCACAGGACCCACACACCTGGAAGTCCTCAGGGTGACCAGTCCTGTTCCTGGACCCACACACCTGACAGCTGTACAGTGGGTGTGTAAATGAGGTGCCAGGGCCTGAAGAGGTTTTTTTCTCCGAGTCCCTTGTGCCAGTCATGAGGAGGTTTCCTGAGGGGCTGCAGTACTGTGGGAATTGGGACTGCAACTCAGCAGAGGAGGCCTCAGGTTTGTCCAAGCACATGCTTTACTGGGGTTTTGTTACTAAATCCTGACCTTTATGTAATAGTGAAGATGGAAACTGGGTTGATAGAGTATTTATGTCTAAGGAGAGTGGAAATTTTGAATAATTTCCAGCAATTGTGTACATGACAATGTTAAAATTATGATCAGCTCAATTTTTTTTCTGTGGCTTGTAAGGAGAGTTTATGTTACCAGTGTATGTCTAGTAACAAATCTTGGTGGATTGAGCCCATGATATCCTTAATGAAACCCAGCTATCCATCAGCAGATCCTTGGCTGCTCTGTCATATTCTAGTTGGATTAACCTCAAATCTTTACAAGCACAGAAAAAGTTCAGAGGAGGCAGCTGGAGCTGTCCGGCTCAAGGCCTTGAGCTGCCCTTGTTCAGGGCCTGGAGCTGCCCAACTCAGGGCATGGAGGACTCTCTCCCTTCTCCCCAGTGAAGTCACACAGCCATGGCAGGAGGGTGGCTGGAGCTGGAATGCTGCCCACAGGCCCATTCCCTGCAGCAGTGGGCTGTGCTCTGGGTCTGTTTTCTACAGAGCAGCTCCTTGATTTCGTGTGTGTTCATCTGCTCTGGCCTCTGCCTCTGCTGCTGGGGGCTGTGCCACAGAGCCCATCAGCCTGTGTGATATTCTCACTTTTCCTGTGGCAACTTTTGGTGTTATTCCTCTCTTCGCGCTGGCTGCTGGGTGAAGATAGGTTTGAGGCTGTTTTTAACCTGGTGAGGGATTTTTTTTTGCTCACGGAGTTTCCTTGTGCTGCTTCAGTGCTGCCTTTAGCTGCTGCCCAGGGAATGTCACAGGTTGTGGAGTGTTAGTAAAGATGTCTTAAGGAATGCAGTGCTCAGTGTAATTCCTGAAACAGGAACCACACACCTGAAAGCCTAAGGGCTGCAAGTCATCTGCCAGAACCCACACACTTGAAAGCTGTATTAGGCCCCTGTCTGCTAATTTCAATGTCCTTGTTAGTTAACTCCTTTAAATATCTGAATTTCTGAGTTGCTTTGTGGTCTTTTTTCCTCCTTTTTCTCTCTAATCTTGTTTCCCCCTACCCGGCCAAATTACACAAATGGACATCTTGATTTTGGAGAAGTAAGAGTAGGGAAAACCTTACAAACCCCCAGATATATTTATCCCACTATTGCATCTGGGAGGGGGGAACTGCACTTCCTCAATGTCTAATGAAGACAAATGCAGAGGCAGAAATACTGTAAGAAAAAAAAAAAAGGCTTACTTGCAGTCTACAGAAATGGTGTGAAGGTTCAAGCCAGCCCTGTGAATTTTACAGTAACTTCAGTTATGGTAATTTGAGAAGTTCCCTTGAGCAAGATGCTTGTGGGAGGTGGTGGCCTCCCTGTCTGTAACCCGCTCTCACTTGAGATTTCTTTGAAAATGTATTGCACAGGGCTAAAAGATGAACTGGTATCTGAATTAGGAAGTATTTATACCATTTATTTGCCTCCAAACTACAGAATTATTGGCTATCATATAATAATTTTCACTCTGTGCCTGGAAAGTCGCAGATCTGGTACTGCTGGCTAAACTCTGGGAACAGAAAAACAAGTTTTAAAACTTTGGGAGTCCAGTAAATTTGTAAATGCAGTCACCAAATGGCAGAAGGGATTGAAGTCAGCAAGGTCTGTTTTATATCAGTGAATATTCATATTTTCTTTTTTTTCTAGGAAGCTATTCCGATTGGTAGCTAGAGCACTTAATGTCAGTCAAAGATTTGTCTCTGTAAAATCAAGTGACAAGTTCTTACTTTGGTGGAGATGAATACAGTCGAATTGGATAAAAAACCGCAATTAATAGTACAAAACAATATAAAATTTGTATAAAATACAAAACAATACATCTGAAATATTAAAGATTGATTATTGTGATATCTTTATACAATTTTTAGTATTTTGTTAGGTAAGGAATTCCACTAGATTCTGCTATAAATGATATCACATAAAATCACATGGGCTATATTGAATTTCCAGTGTCTTCTACAAGTAGGTGTAGAAGATTATGTGGGGAGGGGTTTATTACCTACACCTGAGAGCTGCTCAGTCACACACAAAGAAGGGCTCCCAGTGGCTCTAGCACAACCAGAGCTGTGAAACACTGCCCACCCTGCAGGGCTGTGACCACTCTCCTCCCAGGCACACACTTATTCCAAAGGCAGAACAAGCTGAAAGGGGTAAACCAACAACAACAATGAGCTTGTTCTGCTTCATTTGCCACTCAGTCAGTGATATAAATATTTGCCCTTCAAGTGGGGAGAACAAGTGCTCCTGGGTGCCCTGGGTGAGCTGCCAGCTTCCTGTTAGCACTCCAGGATAATCACCAGGCTGGCTTTCTGAGGAGGTCACTGAGCTGTGCCCTGGAGCCCTGGGCAGCTGCAGGAGGGTGAATACATTCCTCTGCCACCTCCCTGGCTCTGGGCTGCAAACAGAGGCACCAAACTGTAGGAACAGGAAAAATTCTCAGACCTGGGTGTCTGACACAGGGATGGACTCGAAAAGAAGGTGATGATCGAGAGATAACTCCACTGCAAGTCAAAATTGTCACTTAGAACTCCTGTAAGAACCAGAAATCAAATTAATGAGTTCGGTACCTTAGAGAAAAGGCTGCATTACAATTATGTAAAACCTTAGAAAGATCTAATAATGCTGCTTTGGCAGAGGTCCAAACCTTTTAAACAAAGAGTGTACAAAAACACTCAGAATCATTAAAATATTAACAGAAATTTCACTGAATAAGTTTGTTATAAATATGCCCCTCTACAAATAACTAAAGTATTAATGAAAATATTTCAGTGTTCATTATTTAAAATATTTCAGCCTTTATAAGGCATGAAGCAGATTAGTCTGATTATTTTAAAGTCAAATCTGTATGTATTTATCTTTCAGTGAGTAAAGGCACTGCAGGATTCAAATCAAGTTTAAAATCTCTTAATGTGAAAATTGAGTGCAGAAATTAAATGTATGAAACACTGAGGAAGATCTTTAAAACAAAAATTATGATGAAGACAGACTATTTAATAGACAAAACTAGCATAGCAAACTGTTGTGATTAAGCTGATCAAGGCCTTAGTTTCACCTCAATTCCAAAAGTAATTGTAATCAGGAGGCTACAATGAAAGTTAAAATGCAAGAGGAGTTTCTCGGTTGTTATTTAAATCACATTTTTCTGGACATATAAATTCAGATTTTTGTATTTTGTCTAAAAAGATGATTTTGTGCTTTCATAGATAACACATTGTGGCATATATCTGTTAAGTTTCTGATTCTTGAATGTATAGCAGTGAGGACATAGCTACATCTGAGTCACAGACATTTCCTCTCCTGAAATATTTAGATTTTAAACACTTTTGAATAAACTTATACAAACTGGAGTTGTGCTTACTGTAAAAGAAGAATAAGGGATTGCCTTATGCAGTCCACTCACAGACACAATTCTAACCATTTAGCAAACTATTTTGCACTTAAAATTAATTATGTGAATAGGAATATATATATATGTGACTACATTCTTCTACTCTTCCCTGCCGACAACCATTTACTGGAATTAGAAATAATTTAGTTATCACCCTTTCTAAATAATTTAGTTATCCCCCTTACTTATATACTGTAAAGTATGCCCCCTTTCTATAGAAAGGCATCAAAGCAGCTGAATTAGCAGATTTTTTTTGTCTTTCCCAGCTGGCAGCAGGCCCCTGTCTGTGTCCTGGGCACCCTTAACTGCTCAGTGCCCTGACTGTGTCCTGGGCACCATTACCTGCCCAGTGTCCTGGTTACCCCTTACCTGCTCAGTGCCCTGACTGTTTCCTGGGCACCCTTACCTGCTCAGTGCCCCTGGCTGTGTCCTGGGCACCCTTACCTGCTCAGTGCCCTGACTGTGTCCTGGGCACCATTACCTGCCCAGTGTCCTGGGCACCCTTACCTGCTCAGTGCCCTGACTGTTTCCTGGGCACCCTTACCTGCTCAGTGCCCCTGGCTGTGTCCTGGGCACCCTTACCTGCCCAGTGCCCTGACTGTTTCCTGGTTACCCTCACCTGCTCAGTGCCCCCTGGGCACCCTTACCTGCTCAGTGTCCTGGGCACCCTTACCTGCTCAGTGCCCTGACTGTGTCCTGGTTACCCTTACCTGCCCAGTGCCCTGACTGTTTCCTGGTTACCCTCACCTGCTCAGTGCCCCTAGCTGTGTCCTGGTTACCCTTACCTGCTCAGTGTCCTGGGCACCCTTACCTGCCCAGTGCCCTGGCTGTGTCCTGGTTACCCCTTACCTGCCCAGTGCCCCTCACCGCGCTGCCCCGGGGCTGCGGGGGCTCCGTCCGGGCGCGCATCCTGCGCTGCCGGGGCTGCTCAGCTGGACAGGACAAACAGGGCAGGGCAGGACAGACAGATTGCCGGGCTGTGCCGGCCCCAGGGCAGCCTGCAGGAGCTCAGGGCCGTGTTTGTGCCTCCACCGCCTCCCCCTGTGCTCTTAAAGCGGCACAAACCTGCCCTAGGCAGCCGCTCTGCCTCGCCCGCAGTTTGCTCAGAACAGCAGAGCAAGAGCCGGCTCCTCACCCTGCACAGCCTGCTGTAGGACACAGCCACTCAGTGAAAAATGAGAACCCGTTTTTCACCAGAAAACCACTTGGGCTTTGCTTGTAATCATCTTATTTACTCACGAGTGAGTAATCGGATCAAGTAACTCATTCCGACTGATTATTGTGAGCAACATGTGCAGCCTTCAGGATATGAATGCTGATGCCCCCAGTTCACACAGCCAACTCTCTTCCACCTATATATATATATTCAACAGCCCACTTGCTACTTACCAGCTTAGCTTTACTTCAGTGTGAAAAATGCGTATTTTATGATCGGCTTTTTTTGCAAATATTAAAATGAATATTATATGTTGTGTTAGAAAGTAATGCTGTGTTAATTCTTTTAAGTAGTGTGTTAAATATACTTATTGGGTTATTAAAAAAAGTTAAAATAGAAACTATGCTATGTAGGGTACTTTTTTAAAAGAAAGGACACCCAGCGAGATAGCAACCACAGGACACCTAAATATTTCAGAGAAAAATAATTTATTGCCCTCTTATCAGAAGAAATTAACTTATTCCTGCCTCAAAGGTGCTGTTAGGATTCAGAGGAAGAAGCTGAAGATGACCAGACAGAATCCTGTATTTGAATGGAATTTATGCATCATGTATGAGGTGTAAGAATATGCAATAGGTTATACGTTTTAAGGGTTAATCCTCTGTTAACGTGGGTCCTTTTTCAGGCTCGTGCTGCCCAGAAAAAGGTACCCTGACTGTCTGTAACTCTTTGTCTTTATTGTCTCATATTGTCCTAATTCAAATTGTCCAAATTATTATTACTCTAATTGTATCACTACCTTTATAACCATTTTATTACTATTAAACTTTTAAAATTTTAAAAACAAGTGATTGGCGTTTTTCACATTCCATATTTGAAAAACCAGAGCTATGCTCAGGCAAACCACAATCAATAGTACAAAACAATATAAAAAATTGTATAAAATACAAAACAATATATCTGAAATATTAAATATTGATTATTAGTGATATATTTATGCAATTTTTAGTATTTTATTAGGTAAGGAATTCCACTGGATTCTGCTATAAATGATATCAGATAAAACCACATGGACTATATTGAATTTCTAGTGTCTTCTACAAACACATGTAGAAGATAGGTTTTATGTGGGGAGGGATATTATTATCTATACCTTACTACTGCTGCAGTATCTGTTATATTAAGTGCACGTAAGAACCTCTTCAGAGGCTTTGCTAAGGCAGCTCTGGCTCCTCTCCATGCTGCTGTGGAGGTGGCCCTGCACAGTCCCTGGGAAGTGGCCCTGCTGCCTGAACACACTGCTGCATCTGCCTTTTGCCTCTTGACAAGAAAAGATGTGAAGGCCAAGCTGCAGCCTGCCTTAAAAACTCAACAATGAAATCTGTGCAATGATCTGTGCTGGAGTGGATGCATCCAAAGGGATGTACAGAGCTTCAGATTGCAAGAATGTCCCTTTAGACCTCAAAGTCACACAACCAGGAACAGGTTTTTCAGTTTCTTACAAAGCAGAGAAAAATATTAACTAGGGTATTTTCACAGAAAATAAAAGCTGTTAATAGTTCTCACAAGGGATATTTTCATAGATTCAAAACTATTTTCTGAACAATTCTTGGCAGGGGGATGGGTGGAATAATTTCGTAGTATTTTCCACTATACAAGGCAAAATCAGTAACACTTTTCCCTGCAGAACTTGACAAGTGAATTCCACGTCTCTCAATGTGTGACACTAATATTTCATCTTGCTAAAATCAAATTCCTTGCTAAGTTGCTTTCTGAGGAACCTGTTTATCCTGTTTTTTTACTAACTCTTCAGATTAATACAGTTTTAACTTTACTTAATCCTAGTGGTGGTACTAGTAGTCCTACAGTCAGAAGTGGGAAAGTGCATGCGATTGACTGCAAATTGAACATCACAGAGTTTGGCTTGTCAGCATGCTGGGTGGTCCAGAATATCCACAAGTACTTGTAAATACAAGTCCAATAGTGGCAGTTTTTAAAAGCATGACTAATATTTAGAGTTAGGATAGGGTGGATTAAGCTTTTAAAATAGAAAAAGTTCACAAATAATTCAGAAAATAGCTTTTGAAATAAATGCTTGCTAGCCTTGGGAAATCCTGTCCATCTACAAATCAGAGGATGCTGTACAGCCACCTCATTCAGATTCAGGAAATAAATTTGGTGCCCAGATGCTGATCCAGTCTGTCTTTCAGGCCAAGACTGCTGTTTCCAGACCTGCCTGCTGTCAGCAGGGTTGCTGGAGGTGGCAGCTTCAGGCAGGGTGACAAACATTTGCTTTGAGGTTGTGTGTCCACATCCCAGTACCTACTGAAGGCAGCTGTGTGTTTTTTTCACTCACACCTGCAAATAGCTTTAATTTGAGACAACTCTGTGACCCCCAGGAGATTTGCAGGATAGAATAAAAAACTTACCACGGCTTTAAAAGGTTTGCTGATGGTGGGCTGTGTGTCCAGCTTCATTCTCGGGATGATGTTAATCACTGTACATTTCTTAAACTTTACTGGAAAGTGATGAGTGGAAAATTACTACTTGAGGTGATGCTTGTGATCCTGTTTCCTTGTGCTCGTGGCAGAGTTAATTTCACAACAGGAGTCATGCAAGGCTGCAGGCTGGGCGGGTGAGCTGATGGGTGCAGGCAGATACTGGTGAGCTGTAAGTGTTGCTGAATAAGAACAGAGTTTGAAAGTGAAACAGAGCCATGCAGACTCCTGAGTCCTCATTTCTCCTCTACATACCTGTTTCCACTGGGTTAACTGAGGAGTCTATCTGATATGGGATTCAGTAGTTTTTATTTTGGCAGTGCTGTCCAGAAATAAGTCATTTGTTAACACCTTGTAGCTCTCTTTACATGCCAAACAGATGCATGGATAAAAAGGACTTTGGTCACAAAATTTTATCTTTGCCTGTGTTGAGACTACTTTATAGCTCTTGGAAACAGGGCGCTATGTGTATGCATGGTGATGAAGGATTTAAATACTGCTGGAGTGAATAATTGGACTCTACCTGTGGAGGTGAAGCACCTGCAGGCACCAGGCTGCTCAAGCAGAAAGGCGTCTTGGTTTGACACCAACCTTGTTGCATTGATTTTTCTAATCCCTAAAAGACAAGCAGCTTAGTTAGCAGAGAACAACAGCAAGAATGATTCACAGGCCCTGACATCAAGCAGAGGGCTGAAAGAGGCCAGGAAGACCCATTCCTTGTCACAGAGCAGGTGGTGAGACCATGTGCCCAAAATAATCCTGTAATTGAATTTAAGCCAGCGCAGGAATGTTGTGCATGGCAAGCTGCTGCTCTGGAATTACAGTGATTTGCACAGCTACAAGGTCCCAGGCAGCCTCTTTGCTGGCTCAGAGGTTCACACAAGCTATGAGCACACCTTCCTTCCCCTGTTACCTTCCACATTTTGGCTGTTCTGTCCCCCTGTCATGCAGAGGGGAGTGAGAGGAGCTGATCTGGCTCTAGAGCTGGACGTGTCCTTGCTCAGGTCTCTGTGACCAAGCTGAGACTAACACAGTGGCAATGAGTGTGGCTCATAATCAGGAATTTGGCTTTATAAAGGCACCCCCAGATGCTCAGCCAGCCTTTGCACCATGCCATGGAGCTGATGAAGAGCTTTCATTGCCTCATGTTGAAGTCAACTGCCCTGCAGAAAGGAAAAATCCAAATCAGACATCTCTGAGCATGCAGGTATGCTGCACAACTGGAATTCTAAACTTGGGGAATTCTCACCTTCAGGAGATGAACAGACTCAAGCAAGAAAGCTGAGGAAGATTTCTCTTAATCCTTTAGTTTAAGCTGGATAGTGAGATGGTGAGCTGGATGAGACTGAGCAGCTTCTGCAATGAGTGCTCAGTCACTTGGCATCCTCCAATCCTGGCCCTGTGGGAATCCCAGTGAGGGTCTGACAAGCACCTTTGTGGTCCCCAAAATTAGTTGTATCTGAATCTCATGACAATATAGCCTAAAAAAATTTGGCCATGTCATGGCTCTACTGACTTTCCCTAAATCACAACGGCCCAGTAATTTTCCTGCTGTCTCCTATGTGTTTTCTTCCACACACATCCCATGTGCCAGGGGACCTTGGTCTTCTTGTGCTCCTTGAGTCAGGAGAGGCATTAGGAATTGCTGAACAGGTGGCTTCTGGTCACCACCTTTGAGATGCATGAAGGCTAAAGCCCTGCTGACTCTGAAGTTTTCCCATGGGAAATGTAAGGAGGGTGGTTCTGTGCCACCCCAGCTGCACTGCTTGTGCCTTCTTTAGGGGTGAGGGTGGCCAAAGCACTGTGGGCTGAGCAGAGAGTCTGAATGGGGAGTTTTGGTGAGAGAAACTTACAGAAAGGGATCAAAATACACACAAGTAGAAGGTTCATGGGTAAAGGAGTACTGGAAGAGCTTGTGGCTGCAAGTCACTTTAGATATGCAGCCAAGAACTGTAATTTTTGTTCTTGTAATAAGTCAGCAGGCTAACAGCAGTAGGAACCCATAGGCAGCAGTATTAACACTCAGTGGGCAGTGATTATCAAACAGACAAAATGGCCCCTGCTTTCATTATACAGTTTCCTCTTTATGGCTGGCACTTGTTTAAAAGACAAATCAGACAGGGAAAGAATGCATTTTATTTTTTCATGCTGCTTTATCTAAGTTCACTAGCTACAAAGGCAGACACAAGTGATAGGGAAGCACATTCCAGAGAGCAGCAAGGGAAGCACTAAAACTGGCAGACAATAAGGTGATTCTTGTTACACTTCTTGTCATTCCAAGTGCCATCAGTGTACATCTCCACACATTCCTCCTCTCCTTTGCCAGAAGGTTCATTTGAATACCAGTTAGTATAGCTGAGCTGAGCACCATTCAGGAGCTGGAATCTTCCTGGAATAAGGGATTGTTTAATCCCCAGGTAGGCGTAGGTGTTAAAATATTTCACAAAGTACAGAATGGCATCATTCTCTCCAGGGCTCTTTGGAGTGGCAATAGAGCCTCCAGCCTCTTTACATTTTTCCACTGTACCATCAAAATCAGCTTTTTTTCCATTGGTAGCAAAGATTTTTCCTCCAGACTCTGTTATCATCTTGTTCAAGCGAAGGACTGCAAGAGGAGGGAGAAGCTGTTAAAAGTGTGCATTCTTGTGTGTTCATTTTGCTGTCAATTTTAACTCCTGCTACTTTGCGCCATAACTGTAGATTAAACCCAGGAAAGGGTAAAGGAAAGGAGAACTTGAAATCAAAGAAATTTGAAAATGGAGAAGGGGGAAAAGGGAAGAAACACACAGATGATGAAACAGGAGAATCAGAGGAAGAAGAATCAGAGGAAGAAGGGAAATGAGAAATCCTTTTTTTTCCTAAAAACCATATGATTTTATTTGAGACTCTCTATAAGACTCTGAGGTAGTTTGCAGCATACCAATGTTCTGGAGTGAGAGGAATCTTAGATTTGATCTGGTCTTGATTCTCTTAGTAGGTTTTTAGTGTTCTCTTTTTCTGTTGAGGGCACAAGTTGTGCATGGAGCAGCTCTGCATAGGCAGGGATTTTAATATGCCACATCCCTGCCTTGCTTGCACTCATATTTCAGAGCTGTTACCCAGGTGTCTCCCACCAGTTATGAAAATCTAATTCCCACTCCCCTACCCCCATTTGAAAGTTTTCACTCTGATATACCAGTGAAGAAGATATAAAAAGCAATGCTATAAAACTGCAGAAAACTCTGCCTTCTTCCTAAGAAGCAATTTTTGCCCACCTGGTCTATCCCCACTAACCCAGGAGCAGCAGAAAGTAAAGGCAGATAAAATACCTCCTTCCAGTCTGGAAATCCGATATTCCAATTGATGGATGGGGTCCCCATGTTCATTGCCAGCCAGAGCTGTGAGATCTGTGAACAAAACCAGCTATTATGCACTTGGCTTTACAGTGTCAGTCGTGGCTTTCAAATAAAGCAGAGCTCATCATATGAAATTAATATGAACTTTTGAAATATTTGCTTGACAAGTTTTAGCTTACTGCTGTGTTTTAATCAGGTGATAGCTTCACACATTAATCTTTGTAAGGGTAGGGGATAAGTTCCTGGAAGTCACCTGCAGAGCATGGATGTTTATAGAAAACTGGAACTGGCAAACTGAGATAATTTTCTCTCTAAGGGATTGAGTCAGGCCAGGCAAAACTCTGGCACTTGTGCAGTAGGTTTAGCTGATCTTTAACTGTGTCTGGGGACTGAATCCTGGATAGAATCCTTCAGGCTGGTAAAGCACTTGCTTCCAGCTACAACCTACGACTCAGCAACAAATTTCTTGTCTATGGAAAATTCTAAACTTTTCTCTGCGAGTTGAACCGCTGCATCATTAAATAGAGATTTAAGCATCTTACTTCATATAAGGAAATTAATATTAAGTCCTGATTATTTTGTTTCAAGTAGATCACACAGCAGATTATGGTAGATAGCACTGAGTTTTCAAAGCATAAAAAAGATAAAAATGGAGATAACTTCACATACCTGGTATTTGTTGCTCTTCTGCACTGTTGCTCCTACCTCCAAAGAAGGGCTTGAAAGGGAATGATGGAAGAAATCCTGCAAGTTTACCTTGAACACACAATGGGAGCAGGAAAAAAGCTACTGCTAAGATTTTGTGCAGCTGTGGAGACAGCATCATTTAAAGCTGAAGGTAAACCAGACTGGTTTAGTCTCCAGGGTAGAGTCCTGCATTTGAATAAAAAAAAGAGAATGTTTTAGAATTTTTCTGAGCATGAAGTCTTACATATATTACACTTTTTCTGCAGTGACATGAATGTCATTCATGTAGTTGCAAAGTTATCTTATTTCAGACAATTAAAATATTTTCCCAAAAGACAGATTGCTAAGTCTATGAAAGTCTACAGTGCAAACACCCAAAACATCCCTTCAAAGCTCTTTCCTGTACATCAGATACAATTGTATGCCACTTTCCCCCATAAAACAGTTATAATTTCATTTTAAAGGAGAGCAATAGACACATGGCTGCTTTAGCAAGAGAATATTGAAGACAAAGTGGGACATGCTGTCTTTGTCAATTGGTTTAAGAGCAAAACAACTGCTAATACTTATTCTTCTATTGCAGCACCCATTTTTTAACATCTCTTCACCTCATGTGACGAAGTCTATAAAAAGAGGTGAAATTGTTAATAAAAATGTTGATACACACATTGAAATTTGAAAGTTTTGTGACCCAGTTTAATAGATTCAACATAGCTGAAACAGCAACCTATCTAAAGATATGCAACTTACCTAGCAGCTCCAGTGTGAATTAAGAAAGACCCATTCAATGGTCCAATTTATAGGGTATGTAACTTGAGATTCATCTTCTTATCTACAGAGAGCACAATGAATACATCATATGATATGAATTGGCATATAAATGGAAATTGAATGAAATTTAACTTGAATGATAGAGGGAATGTTTTCTTCAAGAGGCAAACATACTTAAAACATGAGGAAAGTATTTGAAGGTACTTTTGTAACTTGTAGAAACACTTTCACAAGTTTTAAAACACCAACCCTAGAACAGAACAAATTTCTCAATTCATATTTGAAATACCTAATGTTTCCACAGAGTGGGTGTGGAAATGTCACAGAAGATAAGCAATTACAAGTTCACCTGAAATACAATATGCACCAGGAACACCACCATCATTTTTGTTACAGACTGAGGACTTACCAGTGATAATGACCAAAGTCTCATAACTAAACAGAATCTCACAATTGTAGCAGCAAAGGCAAATGACAAATCTGCAGCACATGTAGAGGAGACAGCTGGAGAGACACATGCTGAAATAACTTACAGAATGCTCCAGGGGAGGTTTATGTGTCGAAAGGAGCAGTTTTCTCCAGTGGAGCAAGAACCTCTCAGTGAAGGAAAAAGGTTGCTTTATGCCAGTCCTGTAAGAACAGAGGCCCAAGATGAGAAGCATCACTGAAATGGGGATGGCCTTGCCAAGTATTTTACAGCTGTTCTCAGCTCTGTGCAGTGGAGGCTTTGAGGAAAGGTGTTTGAGTCTGTGTTCCAGTTCAACCAAGTCAGATGTGGCCACATCATGTTTGTGGTGCCAGGCCAGCATCCTGGTGCTGCAGCAAGGCCAACAGCCAGGACAGCAGGGGAGTGAGGTGATTTGGGACTGGAAGGGGAATGTCAGCAGTGTCTATTATTCTAACCAATGCTACTGGGTTTGGGCTAGGCCAGATCACCCCCACAGACACTGTGCACCCTCACCTCAGCCTCTGATGTGTGCCTCAAGGCCTTTGTCCTTGGTGGTGTGCCCACAGATGCTGGATTAAATCCTGCTGCATTGTTTATTGAGTGCCCTTGAGTGCACTAGTCCTGTGAAAAACAAATAGGCAGTACCCAGCTGTGTGCACGCTGACAGAAGAGGGCTGTTTTAAATTTCCACAAGTTACCTTTGTTTCAAGCTTCTTGTCAAACTTCAAGTTTCTTAGCTTTTGAGTGTTTGATGTAATGCTTTCAACATTCTTCTGGCAGAGATTTTTTACTTTTTATTTTTGGGGAAAAAAGCCCCACCAAAATCAAACAGAGAACGTGAGACAAGGCAGTACCTGGGTTCTAGATGAGCCCTGGAAAAGGTCACTGGCAGAGCCTGGCCCTTTGCATCCATGGTGAGAACAACTTGAACATTTAACTGCACCTGGAAGAAACCACAAGTTGGGCAAGTGTGAGATGAGGAGGAGGTTTGGCCTGCAGTTGTGGGTATCACATGATGACTCAGGGCCTGGGAAACCAGGAGGGGGACAAAAGGTTTCTTGTGATAGACTCCTGAGGAAAAACTGATGTAGATTGGATAAACTATAAACATTTCTTGTCTTGATTTTCATCAGCATATTAATAAGATGGTGCAAGTTAGATATTTAAATACACCTTCATTTCTAATATGTTTGTTTATGATTGCCTAATAGACTATTTTATATAACTACCATAGTTTGTAAACTACTCTCTGATCTTTTCTTGAACCACATATCACAGAGGTCTAGCGAGATTCAAGGACACAGATCTGATAAAGAACAAACTATTTTTGAGTATTGAGATAAGTTTTCTTTAGTTTCCACATCAATCAGTAAGAAGTTTCCTAGTTTCAGTGGCAGTGAAGCAAATGATGGATATTCTGAGTAGGTTTTGTTGTGCAGTGTATGTAGGCAAAGGCAAAACCTGCTAAGGACAGAGGTTGGTCAAAGCTGCTTTCTTAGCTGCTCTGAGAAACACAGGCAGAGTTGAATGGCTGTGTGCTCCTTCCATAAGCCTGTTTGTTAGCTTTGCCTTGGTATACTCAGTCTCTTGAAAGTTAGGTTTTTTCTTCCATAGTGCTATTCACAGGTAACCTTAAAAATTATTTTCTTATTCTCTGTTTGTATTTAAATGCCCGCAAGCCTGGCAATATTTTCTGTTTAAGCTGATTTTGTTCTGTTCTGCTGTTGTTTCCACCCTACCTTGTTTCCACCTTGTCCTGTGTTTTCTGCATTTCAGAATAATTGTCAAAATGTCTCCAGCCACTCTCTTATGCCTGGGAATAGCAGGAAGAGCACAGAGCATGGGGAGACACGAGGTCCCATTTCTCAGAGGAGGGCTGAGGCTATTTTTGCTGAGCACTAAAAGCAATTCAGCAAGATGTAGACACTTGGGATAGCAGACTTCAACAGGCATTTTTAAAAATTAAATTTTAGAGCACGAAGTGTTCATTTTACCTGTGATCAGTGCACATGAATGCCATCTTGCCCTATGGGCTAAGGTGAAGGATCCAAGAGGAGGGCTCAGGATGTCTCTGATGTGTCAAATGGTGCAGCTTAGCTGAGAAAAACCACAGAAGCTGTAAAGCAAGACTATATCTCATTTCTTTAACAGTTAAACAGTTCCCATTGCCATAGCCTCCTCAAGGGTTAAGGTATCTTTGCCCTGCAGTGTTGTTCAGCTCCTGAGCCACAAGGGCAGAGATGGGTGAAAGCTTCATTCCAGGTTTCACTTGGCATCACACCTGGGTTACAGCCCTTGAGGCAGATTCTGCCAAACTCTAACAGGGACTTCAAAAAAACAACCCAGACCTCTTGTAATTTTTTTAAGGTGCTACTCTAATTTCCAAGAATCCTGTACCTATTGTGTTTTGGAATCAGCTGTGTTTGTGTAGCTGTTGGCTAACAGGATTTTATAAAATGTGCTTCAGCTTCCCACAATGAAAGATCACTTGCAACCTGATACTCTGAGCTACAGCTCAAAATTTATACAAGATAAGGCAGCCCTGCCAGCCTGTGTCACATCCTGCCAGTTGGGTTCACAAGAGTTTGAACTGGAACTCGGTTTTCTCAAGAACCATGGGCCATGGGGTTTTTTTAATCAAGTTTCTACAAAAATCAGAAAAAATTGTGTTTGCTGGAACCAATGGTCAGTTTCTTCATATGTGGTAGGGATTGATGGGGGCAGGTGTAAGGTTTTTGAATACTCAAAATTGATAACAGTACTTCTAAGCTGAAATAACTAATTACATTATACCATTATAAAAGAGGATATCACTCTAGACCAGAGAAAATTCTCTCTGAAATAAATATCCATAATTTTTCTTGCCTAAGTCTAAATGTTAAACATACCTTATTAACTATACTCAATTTCTTTCATGTGAGACAGGATCCACTTGCCTCAAAGGGGTTTGAATTTTTGCCATCTTTTTACTTGTACTAGGATCTTAATTCCTAAAAAACAGTTTCTATAGCATGTGGGGAGTAACTAATTTTCTGATTTAAAGATCTTACCTTTATGTTGCACTTCTGTAGCAAATTATTATAAATGAAGAAAAAAGGATTAACCTGGATTTTTCCTGGTCTGGTCATTATACATCAGGAATTATTATTGCACTTTTAAGGAAAGATTTTATAAAAAAATTTTTATATTACCATAGCAGAACACAGAAATTATGTATTTTGTTTCTTCATGCACCTAACCTCTCTGTCCATTAAAAAAAAAAAAAACCCAAAAAAACAAAGACCAAACATAAATGGAGAATTCAGGTCTTTCACAAATAGCAGACTGAAATCCTGGTATCTCAAATAGCATTTGAAGGTATGAATTGATAGAGTTATACACCAAACACACACACAAAAAGCTATATCAAAATTTTAAAAATAACAATTTCTGGATACTTTTTCCTCTGTGGAACTTCAAAGAATAATCAAGCAACATTACAGATCAAGTGTGAACCATAAAGAGGAAAGCACTGCCTAGCAGTTCTCTGTCTGGATCTGAGGAGCTTTTATTTTTCAGCAGCATGTATGTGTTTAATTTGATTTTTTTTCTCCTTTTTTCAATAATAATGGCTAAAGCAGAAAAGATTGGGCTTTTAGACCTAGCTTAGATACTTTGCTTATTGATGTAATAAATACTAGCTTGTGATTGGAAAATAAAAATCTTATTTTTCTCATTGGATGAAAAACACTCCGCTGTTTTGAAGTCTAAATCTGTTTAGATATAGATGTTATGTGGTGTTAAAGCATTTGTAAAACATTTTTACTTATTAAGGGTCTTTACAAGAGATCTCTACAGTCATTTTGCAGCCCCAAATGTGGTAGAAATAAATTTTTCATTAACTAAAGGAATAGGATATCCCAAAACTAGTTGGAGATATATGTAAATGAATATGCTTTTTCAGTTCAGAGAGTAAAAGATGATGTTGGTAGGGATTTTTTGGGGGAAGGATTTGGTAACTTTTTGTGATGGGTAAACACTTTGCTCTAACAAAGAAACTGCACAGTTAGACTCAAAAACTGCTAATGAGGTTTGCTTATTAAAATACTAATGTTTAAGAGGTAGCTTTAAGTAAATCTTCAACCGTTTCTGGCAGATTTAGTGTAGCTGGTCACATCTAAACCCAGGAAAATGAAAAGGTATAAATTTAGCCTTACCTTTTATCTCAATGTAACCACAGAGTTAGAGTTGTCATGGCTCTATTCCCTTCCTGTTTGAAACTTTTGGCTAAAATGGTACCATGGTCATAGGTCTCAAAACTCCTGCCTTGGAAAGCAGGTTTGGAAGCAGGGTCACACTTTGAAATCTATCCAGTGTCGTCCTGGGTGTACCTTTTCCATTTCAGAGTCCCAGCCTGCTCTTTTATCAGTGGAGTGCTGCATGAACCTTGGGGATGAATCATCCCTTGCCAAAATTTTGGCAGGGCTTGCAGTGAATGGGAATGGACCCTACTCCTCTTCCTCAGGGGAGCCTTGGGAACATTGGGACTGCCCAGAGTCAGGCCCAGCTCCCAGGGGTTCCTGCACAGAGCCAAATGTGGGGGGGGGGGGTGTAATTGTGTTTCATGCATGAATTTTAAAGCTGATGCTTTCTTTTTTTCCCCCCTTAGGTAGTGTGTAAAGGAAGATGGATGAGCTCAGGCCTTCCTCACTGCAAGGTAAGAATGTGAGAATTTGCTGCTGTGGTAACTCTGCCCAGCTGCCCAAACAGAGTAGCAGGGAGAATATTCTGTGAAATTTTGCTTCTTGATCCTACCAGAGTCGAGTTGAAGTCTGTCTGTGCTGTTGCTTGGTATATAACATCAGCAGAGATGTTTGTGTTTGAAATGACTGAACTTCCACTCTTAGCTGCCTTCCCAAAATATGATCTGCTTTGGGAAAAGACAGGTGGGCTTCCAACACTGCAGTCCCATGGTATTCTGAGGGAATGTGCTGTTTAGCAACAAAATGCTGTCTTTGGCATTTTATACACTCTATCGAATTGAATTGAGTGCAATGTTTATCTTTGTGTTTTATAAAGAGTAGCCTCTGAAACTAGAAAAATTATTTCCAACTAGTATTGTTGATTTTTTCATGAAACAAAAGGTTGATGCTAATGAATCAGTGAGTGGTTCAATGTGACATAGGCTCTGTGATCAAAAGTGATGTCCAAAACCTGAGACCATAATTGCTCCAGTGAAGTCAATGTCTGTGCATCTCTTTTGAGGCAGAAACTATTAAGTACTTCAAAATGCTTCCAACTATGACACCACAGGCAATTTTAACTTCAGCATTTCCAATTTCCCAAGTCAAACCTTGGAATTTTCCTCTAATCTTCACAAAGGTATGGAGACAATCTGCCATGAGACTTCATTTGAAGTCTGAGTTATTCCCAACCCTCCAAAAGGGAGAAACACATCAGGCATGTCAGTTCAGGCACATTTTAATCATGTTAATCACCTAGAAAATTTGGCATTTTCCTAAGGCTAAAAAACATCACAATATGATTCATCTTATATTTTAGGATACAGAGAAATTGCAGGAATTTAATCAACCTGAAACACAGATACTTCATTTTCTCCATTCTCTGAGGTGGCTGAAAGGCCATTCTCTAAAATTCACAGATTGTGAGACGGTACATATTGCATTTTTTGTCATTCCAGGTGCCATCAGTGTACATCTCCACACATTTCTCTGTCCCTTTGCCATTGGGCTCATGCTGGTGCCAGTTGCTATAACTCAGAGGCATGCCATTTAAATACTTAACCTGACCTGAGGTCTCCCCCTTTCTAATGCCCAGGTAAGCATATTGGTTATACTGCTTCACAATGTCCATAATAGCTTTATTCTCCTCATCATTCTTGGGGGCTGCAAGAGTTCCTCCAACCTCTTCACAGGATTGTAGTGCAGATACAAAGTCAGCTTTCTTCCCATTGCTAGCAAGTATTTTCTCTCCTACTTTTCTTATTTTCCCATTCAAAGCAAGTGCTGAAACATGAAAAGAGTTAGCTTTTTAAATTCTCTATGGCATACTGATGTCAAAGCAAAAAAAAAAAAGAAATCCAGAGATGAAAACTAAAAGTGCTAAAAGGAACAGAGGGAAAAATTGAGCTAAGGAAGAGAAATAAAGATCTTTAATTTTACTCATTCACTAACTGTTCACTAAATATATTTTTGTGCTTATGACCACTTGTCCTTGTCTCCAAGACAAGGATGTCTCACCAACATCTGCTAAATATCAGGCCTGTTATATTTTCTATACTTTCTAAAGATGATCAGTGGTACTTTCTGAAGATGATCAGTGTGCTTCAGATTTGTGCAAAGGAAACAGTAAAATGATAATTGTTTTCTGAAACCCTTTCAGTACAAAACAATTTACCACCTTTAACAATCTGGTCATTGACAGATAAAAGTGGTACAAGACTGAGTTTCCATGAATCCATGTGGAAAGTGCAACATCAGGTAGTTGGAATACTTTTAAAAATAAACCAAATTTGAATAAATGTGCATTATGATTGCCAAGAGGAATCTGCTTCTCACCAGGGAAATAAGAACCCTGACTTCCCCTGCTTTGAGTGAGAAAATGGAGTTTTGGGGTGTAGCACCTATTCTAAATGCAACTTCTTTCCTGCAAGTCGTGGTTCTGTAACTAACTTTGCCTATTGCACTTAAAATTGATTGTGAGCTGAAAAAGTAACAAGGGGAAGAATTACCAGCCTCAAGTTGGAAAAGTCGGTGCTTCAAATTTGCTAAAGCAAATTTGCTGGCCAGAGAATCAGGCAGACCTATACAGATAAAAACAAAAGTTAAACAGTTATACTAGGCTGTGCTGCTAGGAACAATCCCCTGGATAACAGCAATTACTTTCCAGAACTAACTTGCAAATGCATTTTTTAACAGCAGCAAGAGTAAAATAAATATTTTCATAGTATTTTTTCACATTGTTATTAATATATATTAAAGCAAACTAACAAAAACCTCCAATCCTCTGAAATGATGGTAATTCTCCTCTGCAGAAAAGAAACTGGAGCTCTACAGGTTGAAGCCTTTTGTTAGTTTACCTGTGAAACTGGCTTTGCCAAAGACAGGTTTCATTGGTAATGGCAGGCATGAGGAACACTCTGAGGAGGAAACAGTTTCTATGGCACCGTGTGACTTTCTTTTTCAAGTGCTGGGTGTTTATCTTGCTTTAATGGGAGCCATAAACAGTGGTAGTGGAAGGTTTCTGAATAGTGTAAAATACATCCTGTACTGCTTGCTAAAGATGGGAACCCACTGCAAAGGTAGATTCTTTTTTTCCTACCATTCTCCACAGGTAACGAGGGTCCTATGTGTAGAATGAAGTCACTAATGTACTCTCATGATCACAATCCACAATTCACAGCTAAAATAAACAGCAATGGAGAAGCACAAAACATTGCTGCATCCCCAGCAACACTGCAGCTCCTACTGCACTTCACAATCCATTAAAATCCCCCCATATTTGACCTAATGCAGGGAGACTGGGAATAATTCTAATAGTGCTTTAGCCTTGCCAGCAGACCTGGAGAAAACATTTCTACATATATATAAAATATTTATATGTTAGAGTGTTGATAACTGGTTCAATTCCTCTCTTCCCCCAGAAGAGAGAGGAGACCCATTTTTTTGGAAAAAATTAACTTGCCATTTCCTCCATTCTCTTTTCCTTCCTGTGATTAACACATCTACTTCTTTGAGAGCACGTGTCCTTCTGTGTTATCTGTTCATGTAGCCTTTGTGAGGTGGATCTCTTGCAAAAGAGGAAGTTTGCTTACCTTTCAGACCATTCCTTCCAGGGATACCAGGCAGCCCAGAAATTTCTGGGCATTTACTCGATGCATGGCAAGTCACTAACAAAGCAGCCAGTGCTATGAGGGTGTAGGATGAGTAAGACAACATGATTTCTCAGGCCAGCTGTAAAAAAAACCATCACACATTTGTCAGGTAATTCTGTAAGAAATTGTAGACATTGGTTTATCCAGCTGCACACTCTCCCCCCCCATCATCCCTTCTTGAAATTTACATTATTTCCTTGTTTAAATAAAGTTTATATTTCAGATGTAAAAGATTTATTTTGCAACCATTGTGTAGTTTATACACAAAAGTCTTTCTAGACTGATAAACTTGGAGTAGTGAAGATAAATTAGCCCTTTCCCTGTCGCTGACTATTTGTTGGATTAATCCTTGAGAAATGATAAGCTCAGAGGCAACTGATCACACTTAAGCCATTAGCTGTCTGCAAGGACTGTAATCACCCAATGATGCATAGGATATTAACCTGAAAGGCAGATCTGTCACAGTGGGACTGGTCATGTTTGGGAGCTCGTTACAGCACAACACTATCTAAGCACATTTATTTGGCATAAACTGATACTGTTTTACACATGGGCAAAACTTCACAGCTCAATTGACATTCCTATCCTGTTTTGAACAAAATTCCACAAGCTTGAAAATGTCAGTTAATCTTGTAGAAAATAAACTTTTGCTGGTTGGCAAAAGGCTTATTCATCTTATTTTATCCCCACAGATAAAACAACAACTAGGGTTATAATCTGAGTGCTGAGCTATCATGACTAAAAAGCATTTTTAAACCGTACCTTGTGGGTTGTTTACAGCAGAGTGGGTGCGCTGTGCAGCTGTGAAACCTGAAGGACTGTAAGATACTATGGCATAGAAATATACAGTTATTGACATCTTTCAGTTAAACTAACAGGAGATATAAAGAAAGGTTCAAGATGCCAGAATGTGTATCTGTGTCCAATGGGGTGATGCTCATGGGTTGACTCATACAAAACAAATAATATCCATTACTTCACTTTTTTAATTGGCACAAATCAAAGAGGATCCTGTACCTGCTCTCTCTTAAAAACTTCCATCTTTTAAAAAAAATCAGCATTTACACATACTAGGTTCTACGTCTAGCTCCACTTAAAATTTAAAATAAAAGCTTGGTTGGCTTGAATGCAGTAAGATTATTAACATCTAGGTTCATCAAGCTATAATAAGGTATTTCCTATTATATTTCAAATTATATATGCCAAGCAGAATAAAAATATCATCTAGTGTCATTTATTAAGTGAGGTAAGCTTTTAAAAGAAAAAGCATTGTTTAGATCTTCCATATTGACTCTGTTATAGAAGACTTTTGAGGTTCTTTTTAATCTGCATCAACAGCAACTGGTTTTTCTAGGGGAATGTCTCATCAACATCAATCTGATGCAACATACCCTTTGATTTACAAATATTCAATTTTGTCATAAATTTGCAGCATATAGGATCTGTTTAACTAGCAGCAGTATGGTCAAGAATGTGCACTTTAAACAATGTAAAATCAAATCCCCCTGAGAGCAGATGTGCAGTATTAAAGGTGCTGTTGAGTTTGGTTTGTTGAATTTGGAGCATCTCGAGTTGTTTGCCCTTTAGTGAAGGCCAGCAGAGCCCTCTGGAAACACTGGCCAGTGACTCAGAGAGAGCAGGTTATTAAAGACCCTAGCAGAAACCTACCTTAGGTGATGGGAATACTTACATCCTTGAGATAAGGAAATGCAATTACAACATGTACCCTTTGCCTGGTGATGATCATTCAGGGAATTACATTTGAATGGACTACTGCATCCAGCTCATAATTGGATTATGATGCAGAGTCAGACCCCTGATCAGTTATATAGCAAAACTGAAAAAACACAGCCCTTCAGTTTTAATCCAGTTTTAATGACCTTCATCAGTCATTACTATCTAGTGTCCTTCAGGCACCTCCTTATCTACCAAAATTGCTAGTATAAGCAAAGCAAAAAAATTACTAATAAAGGGAAATTTAATTTTAGAATGTAAATATGACCACAGCAATCAAAAGGAACAGGTTTGCCTTCTAGCTGAAATTCTTTGTGATTTATTAAAAGGAAATTCAACTTACCCTTCTGCTTCAAAATGAAATGAAAAATCAGTTCACACCAATTCCCTTTATATAGTGTGGTGTTTGTTAAATGATATGGCTGAAGTGGATACTGGGGCCACGAATGAGCTTTTTCAGTTTTGCTCATATATTTGTTATGCAAATACTGAGGCCAGTTTTAAGGGCTGAGAAATTTCTTTTTTTTTAACAAAATAAAGCCAAAGCTGTAGAAAATACAACCCAGAACTAACAGATAACCCCAGATTTGTAGACACAAAAGATATAAAACCGTAAAGTAACTTTCAGCAATTTTAGGCCATATTTTAAAATTTTTTGTTGTTTTATAAAAGCAAAAAATGGCAGATGGCCACCAGCGGCTCTTGTGAAAGGAAAGATACTATTGTGATTAATCTTAGGGAAGCCTGGTACCTTCCAGATAGTCTGACCCAGTAATCAGAATTCTAAACTTTCCTCCTTCTCTGTATCTGATGTATTTATCTTACCTTAATATAATTTTCTAGCTATGTGCTAGAATGCTCATTCTGGTCTCTCTTGCACAAGACAGCTCCTCCTCTCTTGGTCAGAGATGGATCTTGGAAAAAATCCATATACATGCACAGAATTCTCAAATGGATTAAAAAAAAAAAAAAGAAACCAGAGCTTTTGCTCCTGCGGTTTCCCAGAAATAAATATTGGGATTTTGTAACTCCCTTCTGGTTCTGATGCATTCTACTCTAAAATGATTGATCCTAGATGGGGTTTGTTTTATAAACCCCAGCAAGACAACACATCAATGTCTCACCTGAGAGACAGAAATACCTCAGCTTCACAGATTTTCTGTTTTGTCAGTTTTGGTCTCTATTTTTCATTTGCATTTCACTGGAACTATTTAAGTTTTGTCATCACCCCTAATAATAGTGTTATTCTTTCTGAATGATTCCAGCAGGATTCACAGCTGCAATCTAACATCTTTAGGCTCCCTGTCCAGCAATTAGAGATGTTTAATATCAACTGGCCGACCTAGCCAAGATAAAATATCAAAGCAGAAGATGCATTTAGGATTCCCCTTAGACATAGTGCAGGCACTTAAATACAATTCCATTCACAACTGTGAGCCTTGTCCTGCAGTTAAACCGCCTACCATGGCCTGTTCTCCACCTCAAAACCCCCCCAAACAGCAAACTGAGGATGTAGCAGGTTTCCTTCTTGGCAAATGATCAGTTCATACTCACAGATGTATGCTCCAGACAATCTATCTTCAAAGTCCTTCCTCTACCAGATGGGCAGCAGAGCTCTTAATGCACATTAGTCCTTTTGCAGCACCAATGGAAACCATTTCTCTCTGTAGTCCACATGAGGTAGATGTAAAAAACTGGTGTTGAGTGGATAAAATGTGGGTTAGACAGTACCCAACAGATAAGATATTTTTTCCAATTGCTGTTGCAGTTTGGAAATAGCACAGATACCAGACAATTGACCACAAAGACACAGGCAGTTCTGTTCCTGGATGGCAGCAGACTTCTGGGGTACATAGGAAATTTCTTCAATTCCAGAATAAGATGAGACTTAATGGATCCCTGTTTGGAGAAGCAATATTGTAAATATTGCTAGATGCCCAATTTCTTGGGAATGTTACCAGAATAAAATCTCAACAGATCTAATTTCTAGGCAACTCTGCAACATTCGTAAGGGCTGGTTTTTCTGCTGCATCACTGCATATACCTGCAGCTCTAATACATGAACATGATAAGTCTCTGGAGATTTGTACTGTTTCTTCCACCTAACACAGTGTATATTATAAGAAAATTAAAGAATTGAAATCATTAAACAGGGAGATCAGTAAAGATCCATCAGCTTATCTCCATCTATTATGAAAGTGTGGCATGAGCAAAACATGGCCTATGATCTAGGAAAGCCTTATCAATTCTTATCTTTTGGTAAAACTTTTGAAGAAAGATACATTTGATAACAGTTGTTCTCCCATGAGTCAGATCATACTTACACAAATGAATCTGATAGGAAATCTAAAACATAATCCAATGTGAGAGATTACTTAGTCATTAGATTTACTTTCCTTAGTTATGCAGCAGAGAATGAGGGAAAACAAAGATACTCAACAAGGAAGAAAGTAAGCAAATATTTTTTCTGCAACCTAACATTCCTGTAGAATAGCTGGGATGGGAATTCTGAAATTTGCAGGTAAACCTGTGTGGTAATGGCTGAAGGCCTTTAGCTGGGAAACATCCACAAAACTCAGCCAGGGAATTTTAATGGTTTCAGAGGACCCCAGGTGCTGCAGGCCTCCTTCTAGCATTAGGAAGAACCATAAGAATAATAAATATGATGTTCTGCCAGTGGATCAAAACCAAACCCTGCTCAACTCTCAGCAAAGGAGAACTTGGGGGGAAAATGGAGTCTGATTTATCAAGATGTCATCTGGCCAAAAAGAAAGTTGCTTCTTTCTACAGAAAGTTGCTTCTTTCTATAACAGCTCTGCATGCTACCCTCAAAAAACTAATTGCCAAGGAAGTTTCAGAACCAGAACTAATTTTATACAGCTTTCAAGCCTCTCAATTTCAGAACACAAGGTAAACTCCTCATTTTGCTGTTTTGAAGTGTGCTGATCACTAACTGATTATGATAACTTAGCATACCCTGATCTGTGTAAAGCTATGTTGTGCTCTTTCACATAAAATAGTGATGCACAGCCTTGCTAGTTTATACTAGCAGTTCGTGAGACAATAATTTAAAGTGTGTCACTGTGCTGCAAGTTCCTGATATTGACTCTCTGAGCGAGTCCTGGTACAGCATCTGTGTGGTAAGCAGGTGTGGTCAATTCTCCATGTTTACCTCCTCTAAAACAATAGTCATTTTCATATTTGTATTCTAGCATTTCCACTCTAATTTATTTGCTGAGCTTTAAATCATACAGAGTTAAGTGTCTATAGTTAGCTTTAAAAGGGCTCATTGGCATCAGCTCAAGACTTCATCAGAAATACAGGGCACTAAGCATATGTCACCTCTTATGTCATGAAACAACCCAGTAGGTGAAGTGTTACCTCCTCCCCTCCTGCAATTCAATTTTATTGACACAAAACCAAACAAAAATATGGGAAGTTCAACAGTCCCCGCCTTTGGAAAATAAGAAGAACTGATAAAATAATTTGTATGCTAATTCACAGTGCACTGATGCAGAAATGGGAGCAAAAAAAAGTAGACAGTGAGGCACTTAACCACACTGTTAATACTGAAATAAAACTCTTCTCTGTGTGCCCTAGACCTTAACTTGAGGTAAACACATTATAGGAAGAAGGTAATTGCTGATGAGACCTGTTTATATTTATGAAAAATCATGGCATCAGAAAAATGCTGTTATTTTGGGGAAACACTGTTATTTTGGGGAGTGGATCCCAGGGAGATTTCTATGTTTAAGTGTACACAGGTAGATGTAGAAGAAGAAGGAATACTGAATATATATGATGAGTTTCCAAGCAGAGATGGCGGGCAGAGCTGGATTTTAAAGGGCTGGCTTCACCAGACTGAACTGAACCTTAACCCTAACCCAAATACCTTTCCATCTATCTATTTTCTATTCTAGGAAAAACAATTCAAACTTTGCTATCAAGAAAAGAGGTGACCAGATTTCCATTTTTTTTTTTAAAAGTCATGGTTCTCTCCTGCCAAAGAACTTTCAAGTTAAACCTATGTTAACAGAAATACCTGGCCTTTGCTTTCAGATTACATTAGATTCCTTCTCTCTCATATACTTCAAATAATTGATTTAAACTACAGATATCAAAGTGGTCTCTTGAGTTTTGTGAAAATGGTAGGCAAGTTGCTAGATTAAAGTAATTTTGACTGAACTATTATTTCTATGCCTTGAATTAAAAAAGGAGAAAATAAACCTGAGCACATTAAAACAAAGGCATCAAGCAGCTCTTACTTTGACAATAACAGATTTTTAGACACAGCCTTCTTCCTTCCTTTGGGCAGGCCACGTGCTCTTCCCTTCTCCCTTCCCATATTCTTTATCCAGGTTTAGTAAAAATTTGGACCATACTATAATCAGCTTCTTCTTTTCCTTTCACAAACAGAAACCAGAAATATTTCACTCTAAATTCAAAACATAGTAACGATTTCAAGAATGTTTATTGCCTGTTTCAGAGCTAGAATAACTAATGTTTAGAGAGATGGTATTCTTAAGATCATTGAGGAATCCTGTTTGTTTTTTTTTCCCCTCAGATCATCACTTCACCTTTTATCCTGTAAGACAACTGTACTGTCCTGTATTACCAACTCTATTCCTCCTTTGATCTCCTGCAGCAAGCAGCCCCCTTACAGGAATACTGCATAACAGCATGAGGCATGACTCCTAATCTTTGTTCAACAGCACAAGGAAATTACTCACTGCAATGTCACTTAGGTGTGTCACAGCGGAGTAAACATTGCCCTCTTTCACTGGGAACAGTGCAAGGAGTAATGCTGGAGGTGTGCTGCCACTTTGTGTTCCCATAGAGATGGGAACACCACTTACCTCCCATCAAAAGGGGTAATAGGAAGCAATTTATGCTTGAACAGCCTCTGGCCAGCATTGCCTTGGAAACATGTGCTTGCAATTCATATCTTGCCCTTATGAATAGCCACCTGGCTCTTGTTGTCAATTTAAAATAATCTAGCCTGCTGATGGGAAAAAAATTCTGCCAAGCTCTTATTATGTTGTTATTGCTGGGAAATGGCTGTGTAATGTCTCACTGATAAGTGTTAGAACATATGTAACCAAAAGCACTGTCAAAGTTTTATTTGCAATAGAAATTCAAAGTCATTGGGAGAAACTTGTTGGAAACACATGGCAGAAAATACAGAGTAGCAAAGGAAAATAATAAACTCACCAAGAGGCTGTTAAGGTCTGATGATCACAGTGAAATGAAGCTGCATTGTATTTTACTGAAGGGACACAACCATTAATGAATTCTCAGCAAACATCACCTATTGTGATTTTTATTGCTGTTATGAGCTGAAAATTAAGATAACAGGTATTACAGAATTCCATTTCCCAGAGATTTTTCCAGGACAGTGAACGCAAAGTTGAAAGAAAGCAACCTTTGATTGATACATCTCAGCTGATTTGAAGCTAGTTAAGGTGCAGTTTTTGCAGAGGCTTTGGTGCAGAAATATTCTTGGAAGGTTTCTGCAAGGGTAAACAAGAAAAGCTCTATTTAAAGCCCCTTGAAGTTCAGCTAATGGATAAAAACAAGGAACAGATGAAGACTCAAAGAAATAGAAATAAAACAAACGGGAATGAACAGAGTTCTACACCCTCAGATTCTCTCTCAAGAGAGGGGAAGATCTTGAATGTTGCTTGAGGCCAAAATGATTCAAAGTGAAAACGTTTAGTAGGTTATTAAAACACAGCAGACTTAACTTGAATGACAAATCAAAGAGAATGTTTAATAACTCTGAGAAATGTAATAACCAGAATGTCAACTACTTAACTAATAAAATATCATTTTGTTATTCCATGGGGGTCACCCCTTACAGCCTTTAAGCAGCTTTATATAGTAGTTTTGAAGATTAAACAATTTTTTTGTTAGTAAGACAAAAGAAACTTGATACAATTATTAAAAATCATTTCAGCTACCTATTCTAGTATAAAATATACCTTTTATAGTATAATGAAAGTATTGTATTTATTTATAAATTTGTTTTGGCACTCTTACTTGGATTTGAGGACTCATTCTAGGCAGACAGGAACATGCTTGTTTCCCAGGAGTGGGAATCTACACAAGAGCTCCTCAAACATTCTCATTTTTCAAGTAGTCTCAGTTTGTCTGCTGTACCAGAACACCTCAGGGACCCAAGCTAGAAACCAGTTTTCCCCAGCCCTGTGCACAGCCCAGCCTGCTGGGTACAGCAGAGTGCCTCTTGCTCAGGCTCAGCCATTGCCATTGCTCCTGTGGGCAGTCCCCTGAAACTGGAGTGATTTTAAGTATTAACTTATAAAATTTAGTTTTCAAAACCTTGAGAACTGTGCTCCTGCTTTGGTACCAGTGTCACCATGCCAGTAGTACATTGCATTTCTCTAGAATCTATTTTCCTACACAACTGGGACCCAACTGTTTAATAATTGCCATCTTTTATGGGTTTTTTACCTTTCCTGAGGAACATACTTTGTTATTGTTACAGAGATAAATAATGTAAACTATAATATTTTCAACAACTCACAGTTTGCTAGAATAAATATCAAATTCAGAACTATTTTGAGAATATTTGACAAAAATAAACATTAGGACTGCATCATTCAAAACCACTGGAGAACTCCCAGTAACTTGAGACAAAGAATAATACACAATTTTTAGTGAAGTGATATAAATAATAATATGTATCTCTTAAATCTAATATACTTAAGTATATCTAATATATACTTAAGCACTGCAGATACATTCGAACTATTTCTTAAATAACTTTTTAAACTGCTAATATATGAGAAACTGAAAAGTTTTCTTGTCATCCAGTCCTGCCATATTGTTGCCAACACTTAATCCCCACTTATTAAAAATATAGGTTTTGCTTTAAGATAGTATTTAAAATATGGAATTATAAAGAAACAGGAATAGAAATATTTTCACTTTGTTTTGGAAAAGTGTAGAACTTTTCCATTGAAAGGCTTTTAACTTCTTTTCACCATTAGTCATGAAACCTAGAAATGCACTTCACTCATGAAAATGACAGATGAGATTCTTCAGAGGGAGGCAATTGCAGCTTGAAGCTAAAGACCATGTAGTAGAAAATAACAGCCCATAGAGAACACTCAGAGGCTTCAAGATAATATTTGCTCCACTAGTTTTTGATGCATAAATAAAAGATCTACTTAACAGGCTTAGGAAGTCCCATAAATACATCCCTTTTTCCATTTTAGCTGCAGCTCTAGAATAAAAAGGTAAAAGGATTTAGATAGTACATAATTCCAGTCTTTAGTTTCTGTGAATATATATGGTTGTTTAGGAAGGGTGGAGAGGGTATAAGGGGATAGAGAAGTTAATAGCTTGTGATCTGTAGGCAATGTAGTGCTGGTCAAGCCACTTCTGCATGGGACAACGTCACAGGGGTGTCATTGGGCACATAAAGTGCAAGACAGGAGATAAACAAGAGAGTAACTGATGCAGACAATATGATTCTGCTGAAGGAGTTTCAGGATTTCCAGATAAATCTGGTGAAACTCTGTGTCTGTCCATCTCAGCTAAAGAAACTTGCATGGTTTAACTTCTCTTACATCAAAAGAAAACTTTGAATTATAAATGTGCTTGATATAATTGTTGGGGCAGGATGGAAATTTGCACAGAACTTTTTTTTTTCTACACAGCTGAAGCACAAGGGAAAGGTGGCCAAGTGTTGTGGCACAGCTGTGCAGGTGGGAAGAAAGGGAAAAAATTCTGTTCAGGATCCTCCCAGGTAAGCCCAGAAAGCCTGATGAGGAAAGGAAACAGTGAAGTTCAGGCTGCTGCACTACTGAGCAGGAGCAGGGGTGTTTGCATGAAGCCCAACACAGCAATCTCAGGCTCTGAAATTAGACACCTAAACAGGAGTTGACCACTGCTCTCAGATTCTGTGTATTTAGTCCAGCTGCTTGAAAATTTATCTGAATTTAAACACCCTGGAAGAGGATGCCAGCCAGTTGCACACAGTACAGTCTTCCTCCCACTGCAAATATGCCAGAAGTTTCTTTGCAGGATAAGCACAGAAGCTCAGCTCAGAGGGACAGACTGTGCCACCAGCTGAAGCCATAAACAAAGCAGAGCTCACAGAAAGCCAGGAAAGAGCTCTTACAAGTGTCTGCCCTGAAGCACTGATCTAAACAGCTCAACTGATGTCTGGATCTTCACTGGGGTCACAGGCCATAAAAAGAGGTTTTAACTGCAGGTGCCTCAGGACAAAGTCATTTGTGCTAGAGACAGCACAGTATCCAGTGATGCTGCTGCTGGTGAGAGGCTTAGCAGAGCTTAAAAGAGACACAAGGCTGTGCCTGGCTTTCCAGGCAATCTTGCATTATTTATTCCCCTGAGCATTTTTGGCCAAACTGCAACCCAGGAATCGTTTTTCACTCTTTAGCTCTCCAGGTGCTAAGCAACAGAGCAGTGCAATTTGGCAGTGCTCAAGTCACAGGCCCTGCATAAAGCTTCTCCTCTGCATGTTTAACTGAAGAGTTTGATGCCTTCACAACAGGAAACCAGCCACAGCAAAGAACACACCTCTCCTATGCTCTAATTGTGCATTAGCCACCTGCTCCCCAATATTTATGTGTTATAAGTAAAAAGTAAAGCAGTAAGTATGAGCTGCTACTGATTGAATGGCTTCCTGTTTGCACCTTGTAGCTTCCACTAAAAATTGCCACTTGAAAACCAAAGAGAATGAAAAGAGCCTTTCAATGATTGTGTTTTTTCACATGTGACAGGATAGCTCCTCTTGAGTATGTACTTAACCTGAAATTGTGTTTTAGAAAGATAAACCCAGCAGCTGATTAACAAATGCTGCTTTCATCCTGCATTACTTATAAGCTCTGTGGAGGTCATATTAGCACTATATGAGTTGGTTCTAATCAGGGATATAACAGCAAATACAGATTAGTTTATAATTAATGCAAAATTAAGTGGTCATCAGGAAGGCTGATTTCAGCCTTCTAGAAGAAAATAGACCACAATTTCAAACTCTTTCTTTTTAGCACCTACTGAAGAAAGGTGTTCCTCAAGGAAGAAAAGGTGTCCCTGACATAAATGATGAAAAAGGTCAGAACTTAGGGCACATCTGATAACACCTTGCTGAATTTTAAAATGTCAATTAATATGACTTAGTGAGAGCTCATTTTCTATTTCTAAGTGTGGCTCCTACCCTGTGGACTTTTGTCCAGCTGAGATCAGCGTGCATGTTAGCCTTGCAGGCTGTCAGATTGCAGCATCACTGTTCTGCTCCTCTGGACACTGCCTCAGGACAGGAAAGCTGACCAGGTAAGCCCAGACTGACAGATCCACACTTGCACAGCTGCTTTTCCAGCAGAGATGGATTTTCACCACTGTAATAAAGAGCAGTTTGGTTTTCTCAAAAGAAAGGAAAGCTGGCAGCTTCCCTTCTGCACAGGAGATGTTAGAGCTGGGGGAGCATTTCCCTTGAGATGGTTACACCAGGGTGAGGCAACAGGACAGGAAATACTGGAAATGAGAAGTGACACCAGAAGGAACCTAAAGCTCAAGGACTGGGAGTTTATTCCAAAAAGTGCAGCTCAGATGTTCTATAGACCCAATCCTTGCTGGGGCCAAATATGCCTTTCCTGTACACAGTCTGGTTTAAAAGTTAATTATCTGATAACTCTGGGCCATAGGAAACTGAGCATGCAATAGGAATGTTTTCCCATTCTGCTTTTGGGAACTTCCAGTGTGTTTAGCATAAGAGAACTTTTGCACTTACCTGCAAACCAGTTTGTGGTTTGTACAGATGCCATTTGAATGAAGCACAGTCCTCTCTGAAAATAAATATTAACTTAAGGTTACAAGAAGCTTCATAAATTTCTCAACTCTAATGGAGATTTGCTGGGAAAAATAATGTAAAAATCAGTCTAAATCACACTTAAGAGGTGAACTCTTGAGAACGTGGCTGATAGGGCAGCAGGAATAATATTTCTAAAAAAGCCCCCACAAAACGGTTGAGAGAAAGCAACCATTCATATCTACAAAGTACTACTCCAGTTTTTTGAGTGTTTTTTTGTTTTTTTTTTCAAATCAGTGGTTTAGTCATTGCAACCTACTGGCTGATGCACTGGGAGAAAAATCTATCGCTACTCTTAGTCGAGCTCCAGATGAAATGGTGTCAAAACAGTTCACAGTGGTTTTTGGAGACAGTCTCAAAATAGACTTACATAATCATTCCAAATGAATGCATTGGAGACGGAACAATTTCTGATCCCTAAACCCAAATACATCTTTTAAATATTGCACCATTTCCCATGTTTTTAGGTAATAACTATTGATTAAAAATTCCCAGGCAAAATTTTAAACAGTCTGTTTTTCATAGCTGCAGGACACCAATTAATGCAGAAAAGGAATGCAGTGCACTTAAGAACTGCAAAGATACTTTGCCAGTAATGACAAGGAAGGCATGAAGCAGATCAGCGGATAAATCACACTCTGGAAAATTCATATCCTTTACCAATTTCAGTAATTGCTTTTTTGCTGTACCTGTATAACCTAGTGCAGAGAAAATAAATGTCATTACTTATAAAGGTAGACAGGGAATTAGGCAATGAAAATAACAGCTATAAAACAGATGAGCTGGGCATCAATTGCTCCTCTGTACAGACATATTTCTATGTTCCCATGGGTCCATAACTTGCCAGGGCAGCCACAATCCTTCTCTCCATAGAGGCACTTAGCTTAGTCCTGAACTAAGTGGAAGACAAACTGAAAATCTGCTCCTCCATGGTTAAACACTTTCAGCCTCCAATGGAAACATTTTTCTTAATTGTCAAACTTGTAGTACTTGTACTTGTAGTACTTGTACTTGTAGGGCTTTGTTATCATGATATCCACCCATTCCTAGGGAATGCAGTCCATAATTTTGTAGTTCACCTGAGGTGAAAGAAGCTCCCATCAAGAAAATCATAAAAGCTTATAGGATCACTTCCCTCACATTAAGGACCTATCACGTAAACAGGGCCTTTTCCTTTTTTTTTCTGCATGAGCTAAATTCCACTTGGAGAACATTTCAGTAGCAGGCTTTTGGATTGAATTTAAGACAGAAAAAATCTGCTTTCCACTGCATCTAAATCTTGATTTATATCTCCTGTACCTCAGCTGATGCCTATAGATTGCCAGAACACATCATTTTATTCTCTTCTCATGATTTTGTACTGCGCACAAAGCAGCTTGCCTGGCTGGTTTACTGTTTTATTCCTCTTTGTAGTTACAGCACAATTCATTTTCCAATCACATGGGAAGGGCTGCATGAAAATAGCTGAAACTTCAAAACAGAAATTATTTCCATGTCAGTAGCTGCTGCAGTGGACTTCTGTAGTTAGAGGATAAATACCACTCTAGGCTCTAAGTGATCATTATCAGTCAATTTTAGAACCAGAATAAAAGTGCCCCAGGAGCAAAGGCATCACTAAATACTGAAGAAACATAGGGCTGTATGCACTGTCCATTATTTACATCATAAAAGAATGTATCAGAAGCTGCATTTAGAGAGCACTCTCTCCAAGTTTACAGCTCAGCTCCAAGATGAAATAGAGACAAATCTTTCATTTGTTTCAAGATTATTAGCAAGTGCTTCTCTCACGCTGTATTTATGAGGAACTCAGGCAGAAAGAACCACCAGCCTGCTGAGCATGCCATAACTTATTACCCTTGAACCACACATTTAACATATAATGATTTAAAATATGAAATCTGTATTTTACTAGGAGATTCAAAACTGAATCTCCAAGAGAGAACAATTATAAATACACCCTTTATCTTGGTATTCCAGGCCCCTTTTAGGGGCACAGCACAAGCACATCCATCATTTTACCAGGCCAAAAATTATACTTACCTTTACCTTACCTTTTTTGTGTCTATTGAATTCAGCCTCCAAAATCTGTGCTTCTGTTTCCAAAGCAGTTACTTGTCTCTGCAAGTCATCAGTTACTATAAGTGGGACTCAAGGCTGTTATTAAATAATTTATACCAAAATGACTGCACAACACCTGTCTCCAAGATGCTCAGCTCTCCTATAATCTGATGCCACGTGAAAGAGATATTTGGTTTCCAGAGCAGAAATCACAGGCCACACTGCAGATTTGTTCAGGGAATTTATCCAACTGGGAGTGCCTTATCCCTGACCAAAGTGAACCCTTGGATAAGCTTTGAATTCTCAGGGCTGCCAAAGCCATCTTCTGTTCAGAGGGAAAAGCCCAGTTCTCACAGGCAAAACACATGTAAACATTGTAAAATTAATTAAAGTTGGAGCAAAAACTCATGAACAGGCAAAGAATGAGAGAAGAAAAAATGCTGTTTTTAACATGAGATAGAGGGTTTGGTATTTCACCCACAGAAAACAACAAGCTGGTGACTCATTCCAGACAATTTCTCCCTCCAGTTCTGTTGGGCAGCTCATCTCCTCTGTAACAGATAGTTTCTTTTTCTGCTCCTCACACTTCTGGAACTCATACCTTTCTTGAAATGGTGCTATAGGAATACCAGACACTAACACAAATATATTTTGGAGAATATAGTAAAAGTTTGAAAACCAGACTATAGAAACATGAGAAATTTATTTTTTACCTCCATATTCTACCTTTATTCCACTCTCTCCTTGTAGTTCTAAAGTTCCTTTTATTCCTGAATGCCTCACTTTTCCAGGGAAACTCTACAGGTCTCTCAATTCTTCTCCTAGAATTTAACTTAAAATAAAAAATGATTCAAATGTTTCCTAACTTTTTCTCCCACTATGTTTCCTTAGTGCTTTAAGAGAGCATCTAACACCAACTCCTTCCCCCTTGGTGTTCCAGCTGCCCACCCCCAGGAAAATAAAAACATCTCAGGAAAATTGAATTATTCCCATGGAAATCTTCATTTCCTAGGAAATGCATTACTTTGAAGAAAAAGCCTTTACTACCCCTACATAAGGCACTGAAAATCCATGAAATAAATGCCCTCATGTTGTTCCATCCTTTTAAACAAGAAAGCCAATCTTGTTCTGCTGTAATCCAATCCCACATCACAGGGTATGATCTAGAAAATGAGCTAAATCACAGCATTATTAAGGATTCCTCTCTGGAGTAGTTTGTTGAAAGATACTGCTGGCTTTGCTTATTTCAACCATGGAATTGCAGGGGCACACAGAGGAGTAGTGGACCAGAAGATGTCTATACAGAATCTCAGTGCATGCCACTGGAATTTTGTGTCACAGTTCTTATGAAGTGGTAATGTTCAGACTTTGCTTTGTGGATGGAAGGCAAGCACCTCATTCCAAGGTGGGTGGGTTACACATGATAACACAGATGTGATATAGTAAGAAAATATACAATTTCATGTGTACTTATTAAGAGTTTGGGCAGAAGCTGGTTTGGTCACTTGGCAGAGAGTGTAACTGGGTTCTGCCACATGGCAGAAAGCGTTTTGGAGCCATTTGCTGCTTGCAGCAGCGCATGAAAAAAAATTACCTGACAAATCACACCTTGGGGGAATTCTGCTGTTGATGAAGCAATCAAGTTATGACCATCAGATTAGGAGGCAAATTTAGCAAGCATGATTTCTGGTTTTGAGAGCTGGCCCCTGGAAAGAAGGAGCACTAATAATTTAGTAGGAGATAATAGGAAGTGATTCAGAGTACAAATGGTACGAACAGATTAAAATCTCATTACATCTCTATTTTATGGGCTGCTGTGAAAATGTACAATATTATTTTTTTATTTATTAAAAGCCAAGTATCTAGAGTAGCATTATAAATGCAGAAAGCATGTTCAGCTTCCTGAAATTGTGCAGAGCCTGCAAAAGGCTAGTGGGGCAGAAGAAAATGAGAGAAGTAAAGAGACAAAATGAAAGATTGAAGGAGGCATGAAACAAGAGTAAAGGGATGATAGGGAGTGTCAAAATTACAGTATTGCTACGTGGTCATGACTCTGTACCTGCTCACCCTTTGCACCTTTGGGACCATCTCTAGCTGGGAAGACACTGGCTGCAGGAGCACTGCACTGAACTTCTGGGCAGGAATAAATTGTCTTTGCAGGTTTTTCTGTGCTAACTGAACTTCTTACTCCTAGCAGTGAAAGCCAAAGCATTGAAAGGATGAAAAAGAATCATTTCTAAGTCCACTTATCCATGACAAATCAGTAATTTAATAAATTTCTCCATTTGCATAATTTTGAGGTGTTACCTGGGAAACACACTCCTGTCTTCAGGCAAAAGGGATAGTGTCTGAATCATAGCATTTAGCCCCTGATGGTATCTGTGCATATTGAAAAGAAACAACCAAACTTAAAACAGTCTGAAAGTCTTGAGGTCTAATGAAAATACCTAATATCACAACAGTCATTAATCTCACCGTGCTACAAATAATTTCAGTGTTTTGTTCATTATATGTTGAAATGTACAGCCTTTATGTTCATGCCAAATGAATCATACAACATTCCAGTTGAGGATGAATCCTCAGCAGCTCATTGTGTTTCTGCAGGGACTCCACACCTATCAGGAAATGCCTAAGCTCAAAGTGATTAAGTGCTTCTCTTATCAGAATCTCCACTAATTGCATACACCCACACCTTAAAGGACAAAAAGCTCAAGTATCTTTGAGCACCAATGATCTGAACGCCTCTCCTATTTCTCCTTTGTATATTAAAAAGACACATTTTTCCTCAGTAATACATCTCAGAGCTGAGCTCCTTTTGGATTCCAAAAGATCTGCAATCCTTTGCTGCCCTCTCTGAGCAGAACAGCAGTAACAGATAGAAACATCATAAGGTAAAAACTCTGACAGGCTGCACCACAGTGATTGCCCTTGTTTGTAATATGAGTGTCAAATGTGAGGCAATCACACCCATGTATTCTCTTTAAGTGAAACCCCCCCCAAATTAAACTACCACAGACTTGTGACAAACTTATAGTACATAAGCTACATATTAAAGGCAAGTGGCCTTAATTTTTCTTAATTTTCCCAGTTCTACCAGTCAAAAAAAGAGAAGCCTCAGGAAACACCATTTGGTTGACAGATTTGGGTAAAAAGAGAAAAATCTAATCCAGGATGAATTCTGCTATTCACCTCAATTATTTCTCTTTATTTTAATCTTCAGAAAAGATTTCCCACAGAGAGCAGCTTCCCCTGTCAGGTTTCATTTGATAAAGTACCATATAGAGTATAATCATTAGACTATTACTGTAGGAACATTGTAATTAGGATAAAAAGCAGAGGTTAAGAAGCACCATTTTTCTATATTCTTCTTTGTGCTTCCTCCATTAGGCTCCCATCAAAGTTTGGAGCAATGGTGCTTATTAAAATAAAAGAAGGAAGGTATTTAGCTAACTAGTACAACAAACTTGAATCCTGGTTTATATTTCTTATCCAATTCCATGGAATCCAGACAGTTCTTAATACCCTGTAAGGATTTTCTTCTGCTGATTTTCTGTAGTGTGTTAATTATACAATACTAGGGAAGTTGGCATTGCTGGTGTCACCCTTGAAGGTAACAAGACAAAGCTCAAAATAAAAGAAAACTTGAAAACAAAATGTAAGCCTTCAGATAAGTTCACTCCTGGCAGGAATTCAACCTCACACAAATCTCTGTTGGTTTTGCCAGCCAGGAGCTAAAAACTATTTACATCCATAATTTTCCAGGGTGCTCCAATCCTTTATTCTAGAAGAGCCCAAGTGCCTGTTTACACTTTGACAAAATGGTGGCAGGTTTTCCCAGCAATAACATCACTTTCCAAGGCAATTGATGACAATTAGCACCAGCAACAGCTTAGATTAAAAAAAAGCAAAATGCACCAAATTTCTCACAAAAATTGAATAAATCTTACGGAGCTGGAAAGAAAAAAAGCAAACCCCAAAACAGGATTTGCAATCCACACTTCTAGAAGGATAGACAATTCCATGTGGAGAATCACATTGTGTGGATTTAATGGCAGTCTTCAGGTCCCAAAGCTTATACAGCTTGAGATTTCTCAGCAGAGATCAGAATTAGGCTTTGAAAGATGCCCTGAAACTTATATTTGGGAGGTAGCTAGTTTGGAAAGTCCTTTTCCTGAGGCAGATGTCTCAGGTAATTCATTTTTCCTCCTTAAAATATGCTTTGAGCCATGATTGACCCAATGCAGGAAATGGCAGAGAGGGGAACCTGGTGAGGCAGCAGGAAGTCCTTTTTACAGATGTGGTCTAGGAGGTGACAACTCTTGGGTCATCAGCCCAAAATCCCAAACCATGACAGCAGAGGACAGCCCTGTTGAATTAAAGTCCTAGAAAACCCGTATTTACGCACAGACTACTCAGGGCCAGAATGCTCTTAGTGAGGTTCCACCCTCCTGACAGCTCTCCTTGTCAGCCCACAAAAGTCCCTCCAAACCATCGTGTCTGCATCAACCTGCAAAGGCTGCAAGGCCCCAGCACAAACACTCATCTCAGCAAGAGAACTCTTCACTTCCCACACCTCTGCCACAGCAGTACACAGGGAAGCTTGGCTTGCCTGGCAGCCAGCACAACAGAGAGCTGGAGAAACAAGTGAAACAGAAACCGGCTGGATTTTTAGCATGAGGACAAGGCTGCCAAAAGAAAAAGGTATATCCTCTGCATTTCTACTAAAAGCAGTTATTTTATGCTTTGTTTAGGTAAGGGGTTCCTCTCTTATCTCTGCCTTGCACAATCCTGGTGATTGCCTACCTCAGTCTCCCACCCCTATTTACAGGGGCTGCCCTGGGGGTGAGCCATTTGCTCTTTGCCTGGCCTTGGGCTGTGGCACAGTGCAAATGAACAACTCAGGAATCAGCAAGCTGCAGGCACTGGGTTTTGACTGTAAGGTTTTTCCCCTTTTTTCAGTCAGTGGATCCAGTTTTCAGTGACCTAGGAGAGGGAGGGCTGCTTGAGACCTGTTTTACTGCAGTGACTGCCTCTCCTGCAACAGAGCTGGCACTGCCCAGCTGGCCAAGGTACCATTGTGTGGACACAGAAACTACATTGTGTGCTAGGTGGCTCTGTAACATTGGTAACATAAAATTTAACCCTGAGGAAGAGACATTTCAGCAATTTTGCTTGCAGAAAATTTTCTTACTAAGACTGTTAGATGTTTCCATCTGCAAAAGTTCGAGCTCTCAATCAGAGAGTGCAGCAGTGTCAGGAGGGGTTTTGTTCCCAGGATTCCATTCTGAAGCTATTATGTGATGGCATCAGATAGAGAAGTTATAGGCTGTCAGTTAATGCCTTGTATCTTTCCTATTCAAGAGCTAGGATAAATTTAGTGTCTGTAAAAATATAATGAACAATCAGTTCAGTGCAGTGCTACTTGTCATACATGATTTGAAAAAACATTGTAGAGCCAACATCATTAAAAAGAGATTTGGAATTAGAGATCTGTCAGGTTTTTTTAAATAAGAAGCAGAAATTTCCAGGCTGACATTTGCTGTTTTGGCCAAGAGGCAGCCATGGGATCTCTACGCTGTCAACACACGGCATTCAGCGCTCAACTCATAACCTTGTGACCCACAAAAATGTCTGGTTTGTTGTACAGCTGTTGAACTTCCCTGGAGGTTGCTTGCCTGCAAAAGCAGAAGTATGAAGCAGACAGGATTGTCAGCAATTTCCCCACCCCTAGGTTCTCACCAGGTCAAGACACCATCTTGCTCAAACATAGTTCTTCCACGTAGCAGAAATTTCACTAAATTCTGCCAAGCCCATTATGTTTATATGAAGAACAGAATTTACAGGACTATTGTAAATATCTGCATTAAGCAACAAATAAAAATAATAAGGGCAGGTGGTTTAGTATTCTGCATTAAGCAACAAATAAAAAATAATAAGGGCAGGTGGCTTAGTATTCACAAACTATTAAATGTTTTTCTTAGCTGAGTTTGTAATTTCTTTATCTGCTTATCTCTACATCTTTCTCCAGAATTACTTGGTTGTGGTTCCACATTTGCATAGAGAGCTCCTCACTGTTTGGATCCTTGAATGTACCTTCTTTTTGCAGACCATTATTTTGGGGGAGTGGTCTTATGGCTGTGCATTCTTGAATATCGAGTGAAACTCTGCAGATTTCCTTTGAGAAGGAAGCAGCTCAGCACAGGAGAGCACTTGGCTTTTGAAGCTTCAAACTTTCCTTTGGAGCCATCACTTTTGAGTATTCTTCACCAGCAGCAATATCATATGGGAATAACAGAAGTGAGAAGTATACCCAATTATTTTCATCACAACATAGCAGGGTGACAGCTCCCAGACACTTGCAAAAGAATAAATGGTTAAAGCACTGAGTAGGAATGCACAGCTACCTCACTGATTCTCTTTGATGTCAGACCATCAGAGTGCTTTTATTCTAAAACCAGGAGTTCACAGAGTGTTTCACACTTTTCATTGAGACAATTAGAGACAGGATTAAAGACTTTTGAAGAACAAAACTCTAGGAATAACCTTGCCTTAAAAAAACCTCAGAGCAGGCATCATGAAGCACGATTTCTAATAGGTGCTCATACAGTGAGCATAATTAGAGCTCTTAGAAATATATAAAATGGAAGCTGTCCTATGCAGAATTATTTTCTTGTGAATTAATAGTGATTTATCCCTTCTCTGTGTATCCTACCATGCATCCATGCTTCTGCACAATCAGAAGGACGGAGCAGAGCTGAAGTTCTTTATTTCTCTTGACTTGTCAGCCTGCCAAAAGGACTGTGCACATGAACAGTTGTTCTCTGTTTTGTTTTCTATCCTGAAATAGTCAAGCCTCATTAGTGATATAATCTTCAAGTGTCGTGTGACTGCTTGGTATATTAAGAACAAGGTAAAAGCATCAGCTTCTTGTGAGGGAGAAGGGAATTTCTACAGTAGGACACACTAGGAACAGTGGCACAGGAAAAACACAGCTTGCAAGGCTGAGCATAATCTTGACAGAGGCTGTTGAGAGAATGAGACAGTTCTGAAGCAGACCAGACCAAAAAACCCAAACAACCTGCTTAATTCAGAGGAAGTTCTGTTTGACATTCAAAGTTGATGATTCCCAAAGGATCCCTCAGTTATTAAGAACACCTGTATTGAGCTTCTCCTCTTCTTCTGAAAATCTGCTGAGTTTCCTGTCATCTGAGGTTAAAGACATGTGAGCTTTAAAACATGAGATTCTGAATGAAGATAAATAGCATCAAGATGCTGTTCTTACCATCCCAAGTCAGCTCTTCTACTTCAATTACATTATAAAAGTTTGACTACGAAGTCAAAAAAAGTTTGACTATAAAGTAAAAAAATGTCTCTCTTCAGCTTCATGGAGCTTTAAGGGATCTTACCTTGCATATTTGGAATGCATCTGCAGATGGAACACCCATGACTCCATAATAGTTTTTATCCAGCCCTAGGCCACTTTGCACCCAGCTTTCTGTTTGACTCCTGCAAAGAATTCATAGTTTAGTACAACGATAAAACTAAGCACAGTGTAAATCTGTGCATATTTATATCTTTATCCTTGAGAATAGCTATGGTTTTATCCCAGCATTAAAAGAATTAGGGAGCTAGAGAGACAGAATATTACAGGTTTTTGTCTGCTCCAGTATACCTGGATACGGAGGTAAATAACAGTGCTTCATGGTTAAACCTGAGTTTACACCTTTATATGTACTCAACTGAATCAAACAAAAATATTTTGATGCTGATACACCTGAATGATGCTGAACTGTTCAGTACTATATGCTCTGAGCAAGTGGTTAAATGTTGCCATCAAACAGTAACAAAACAAAAACAAATGCCATCCATACAAAGCTCAGAACACATTATCTAATTGTTGGGCTAAAGGGGTCTATATACTCTACTGGGAAATTTCTGTCCTTCATTCAACTTGGAGGAACAGGAATATTCCCACTCTGTTCCTTTGCCTTTCCTTCATCTACTATAAATGAAATGTAAGAGGAAGGACATTCTTTTCTGCTGAGACTCCTTCAAACACAGACCATGAACAGGTGATCTTGATGCTTAAGGGCTCATAAAACACCATGGCAGATTTCCAGCTCTTCACTCTGGCTGCAATAGAAGATACAGAATGGCAGCTTTTGCCAAAGCTGGATGAGCTGTTCCCATTTGACAACTGTCAAGTAAAGATTTCTCAAGGGTTTTCATCATTTTGCAGTAAAAGTTTATGAAGCTCAAGCCTACACTAGCATACAAGAGCTGACATTCACATACAGTTGAAGTATCAGAAGCTGTAAACACATTTTGCTTCTCAAGTGCACATTGAGAAAGGTTTTGTGAAGATTGAGCTGATAAGAATGCAGATAAGAATCTCATATAGATTAAATAATACAGGGTATAGAGTTGTCTCACACTCAAGAACCTTTAATATGCACAGCAAAACTTGTGAAGCATGGTGTAGATACCAAGGTTATGGGATCAAGGGAGCCCCTACAGTTCTTCAAGATTTTTATTATGTTTCAGTAGGATTTTTCCTTTCTTCTTCTTAAATTTAATGATTCTGGAAAAGATTCAAAGTCATTATAGGGTCTTCAGGACCTGCATTTCAAGAGCTGATCCAAAAGTACTCCATAGGGGAGACAACAGAAGCTAACCAGACAAGTGAAAGCACAGCCACCAGTGAATAAAGCGGCCTGTAAGGGACCTCTGGTGGACAAGAAGAGTGTTAAATTTCTTTGTATTTCTTAACAGAGGAGTTTATCAATTTCACTAACTTACAGCCATTCAGTTGAATGTTATCTCATGTTATAGAATAATCAAAACCATTTTCCACTTGAACAAAAAGAATTTTATACTAAAAGACATGGAAATGAGTACAGTTGAATCACAAACTCTAAAAACATCTGTAACAATGGGATTTTGTATTGCTGTGTATGTACCACTAACAAAGTGGAGCTAAGGCAGTTTTTCAGGTGATATAAAATTCACAAGCAGTGATTTTCCAAGGGAGAAGAGTGATCCTTTGAGGATATATCAGTCATTCCAAAAAAACATTTCCCAGGCTGGGTGAGGTGATGGTACCTGCTGCTTCTAGCGGATGCAAAGGTTGGTCAGAGCCACTGTACTCAATCACAAGAGTTTATATAGCTACTTATTACCATGGAGAATATCCCCAAGGACTTATCCTATTCCAAACTAAATATTTTTAAAAAGTGTTACAAGCTTGGGAATTTATTTTGATCTCATGGCTTGAAGAGGCTCCCAGCTCTGGGCTTTTGGACCTCCGTTTTCAGAATGCATGTATGGTCTGACATACCACAAAGTTTGTGCAGATCCCTCTAGGATCACAAATTCCTCTTTGGTAACTGGACTTTTCTTCCCTTGATGCTCTTTCCCAATCTCCACATGGAGCTAAAACTCTGATAGCTTCTCACGTGGGTGTAACAATAGACATGGGAGATGGTTTGCTGTACAGAAATAACACTCTGAAATGGTTCCCTAGGAAAAGCAGCATGTCTTGGCAACAGTTGTCCTGGCAACTCAGTCCCCTGGCAGAGGGTGGTGGCCACTGATCTGTGGAAACCGATCCATGACTCATTTTTTCTCAGAGATCTGAGTGGAAAGGAAATGCCCCCACATTTGGCTTCCCCCCATCCCTTGCATTGACAGGAAACTCTCACCAGTCAGAGAGGTTATTTGAATGGTTGGGAGAGCAAGCAGCCCTTTGGCCACAGAGTTTCTGGTTCCCAGAAAATCCTGTTGCCCAGGAAAAGCAGTGCCACAAAAGCCATTTCATTTTCATGGGCTTGTCACCCCTGAGCTATCCCTTCCAAAGCACAAGTGTGACTGGAGCCTTGGGGTGACTGAATGACCAGCAAGGGGTTGAGTGGTGAGCAGGAACTTTAGAAATGGATCAGCTGAAAGAAATGAGAAGTACCTGAGTCTATGCAAGCTCTGAAGGGTCAGTGTGAGGCTGAACGGGGCTACACCAGGACATGGGGTCCAGAACAACAACACTTCCAGCAGGTGCTCAGAAACTGATCTGAAAGAAACATTTCTGTTTCAGCAAACGTGACTTGGCAACAAAATTATTTCCTCTTGAAGTATTTCTCAAGGTTTATTCCACTGCTTTAATCTGAATTATGCTAATTCATGCATAGGATGATTCTATTTAGCCATGAATATTTGGACACATATATTTTCATATAGGAGGAATGCAAAAGAGTTTATTAGATGATAGCACAACCATTGCATGAATTCAATATTTGCACAAGAAGCAGAGAAATGTTTTTCATCAGTTTATGCTTCCCCTTCCATTACCTGCATAGTAAACCCAAACACAATAAATGTTTCAGGATGCTATTAGGCAGGTGGACTCCCAGAGATTTTCAAGGAGATGAAAAAAAGCACCTCAAGCAGTAAATCATAAATCTTGAAAATTGCATAGTAAACACTTGGAGACATATAAAATCCCACTTCTAACCTAAACAAGTAAACAACTTGAAAAAATGGGCTCAGACATAAAAATTGTGAGCTGACTACAAATGATCTGCAAATATATTGAAGGCCTATATTTGTTCAAATACATTATTCATCAGAAATAATTTGAGTTTTAGTTATATGCAATTTATGTTGCATAAACTTAAGCAAATACTTGTAACCAAAAGCTGTTTTAAAGAATTAATGAGCAATCTCTAAATAAAATTCTATTACTACATAAAATCCTCCCTGATTTGCAAAGCCATATGCTTCCTTTAGCATATACATTAATAAGCATATCTATTAAGAGCTGAGGCCTGAAATGCTGTGATAGAGAACTTAGATCTGATTGAGCTCTCACTAAGCAGGAGGGGTGTGAGGTGAAATCACTGCTTTTGAAGTGTTCTTAAAATATTTAGGATTCAACAGCAACAAAGTCAACTGAATTCTTGTGCTAAAGAGCTACTAAAATAAACTACTAGAGTTTCTTCTCTAGAATCAACATTTCTGAATTTTTAGTCAACAGATAAAGAGAAAGAGGAATGTAGCTTTTCACCTCTAGTAAAACACTTGCACCGTCCATTGCTGCACTCCCTTGTACACTGAATGTGTCAGTGAACATTTCAGGCTAAGTGTACTGCAGTACAGGGTGGTACAGTTTGAATTGCTGTACCAGAGCTTCCTATGGAACAGCATCAGGGGTGACTTGACTTACATTATCTGCAGTAACTCCATACTCCTCTGAACTAAACAAGTGCACTATGTGAAGCAATATTGATATTATTATTGTGTAAATTTTCATATTATATAGAAGCCTTAATCAACCAGATGCTTTTACACAATTAGAGATGAAAGGGAATGTCCACAAATTAACACCTCCCCCAGTTATTACCCTCAAAAGTTATTACCCAAATAGATGAAAGAACTAGTCTGGCTTCCACAAATATCTGTTTCTTAAATTTGAATTTAATGAAAGTACTCAGGCTGCTTGACCAACTGTTGAGACACTGCAAAGCTTTCCTCTGACAGGGATAATGCTGAACTACAAGGGAAAAAAAGAACAGACAATATTTACAAAAAACTTAAACACAATTACTCAAGCAGAGTAGCTGCTACCTGTCACAGACATCTTTTTATGAAAAATCCTTTCCTTAGGATTTTTTCCTCCTGAGAAGCTGAGAGGCCTCAGGAACAAAATGTAAACAATGATTATCTGCTGCTGTGGAATGCAACAGGTGGCATTGGCCCATCTTGGATGTTTATAATTAATGGCCAATCACAGCCCAGCTGGCTCAGACAGAGAGCCCGAGACAGCTGCCTTTGTTATCAGTCTTTCCTTTCTGTTCTTTGCTTAGCTAGATTTCTGAGATGAAACCTTTTCTTCTATTCTTTTAGTATAGTTTTAATATATCATAAAATAATAAATCAAGCCTTCTGAAACATGGAGTCAGATCCTCATCTCTTCCTTCAATATAAGACCCCTCTAAACACCATCACAGCTACCTACTTTCCACTAATATCTACCAGTCCTCTTGTATTCACTTCAGCCAAAAAATGTGAGTTGTACAAAAACTTCCTATTCTGTCTTCACTTACTCATCCTCTTTATTTCAGAACCACTTTTAAAGTTCTGAATAGTTTTGGAGCAGTTTCCCAGCTTAGTCACGGGGCAGGGGCTGTTGTGCAGAATGACCTCCCTTACAGGAATGCTCCAAGGGTTTGCTGCTTCCTTCCAATGTCACACAGTGGATGGGCAGCAATGCCCAACAAGCTCTTTCTCTCCAGCGTCTCCTCTGGTTCTGACTCTTTTGACCACAAGGACAACAGAGATAAAATATTACCTTTTGCAATTGTCATGCACAATTTCCTCACATTATGGACTAAACCAAAATGGACTTTTAAAATTTTGTTTGATTTGAACCCCTTCCTCTCTGGTTTGGCTAATATATGGAATTAACCAAACAGCTAGCTGTTGTCATTAACCTTTTAGCATTGCTTCTCATTAGAAACCAAAGCTGCTGCATTTCTACAGCAGCTTTCCACAAAATGTGTCTTGGTATCTGAAAAAATATTAGGGAATGAATCTTAATTGCTCTTAAAAGGTAACTGCCAAAAATATGAAAGTCACAACGATTATTCAGACCCAGGATTTTGAAACACTACGTCTTTCCAAAGAGAGTGAGCCAAAGATATCTTGATGTGATGACAGAAATGCAGAAATGGGTTTGTTAATGTGTGCTGACAGCACCCCTGGAGTCTCCAGCACCTCTCAGTCACGTCGTGTCTGACAGGAGCTTTGCAGCTCCAGCGCACTGAGAATGACTGTGACTCTGCAGTCACTTCTCCTGGACAGGTTGAATAATCCTTAAATGGCCCCTGCTTTAAATACAATTTACACCACCAGCTGAAGTGTATAACAGAACAGGATCTTCTGGTACAGACTGCTTCTGTTAGGAATTGCTCCAGTAGCTGGGCAACAACCAAGTTTCTGGAGAGCCTTTCTGCTACAGCTCAAACACAGCTCTCATCTTTTTGGAAAGTTTGGGCCCCAAAGTTTTCAATTACCTCAATGAAGGCTGTGAGTTTTCAGAATTTTTGAAAGCCTACCATTTTTTCTTAAATGAAATCTAATTTCAATATGTTAGTTTAAATAGGCAGGATTCTGAAAAATATGAAATCGATCCCCAACAGCTTTCATGCATACAAGAAAAGACCTAAAAAATAATCATCATTTTCACACAACCTTTTCTAATCTTATTTTGATAACCATTGGCTACATTACTGCTCTTCAGACACAGGAATTTCCTAGCAAATGACAGCTAACTAAGGTCACAGGAAGATTTACTGTCATTAATATCATCTCACAGTAAGAGGGAATGTTCTCTTCCTGTAAGTGAGTCACCAAACAGTTTCTGTTTGTCTAAAAGTGATAAGAGGAGCATACAAGAAAGTTAATTTTCGCTGATGACAGACTGAATGGAGACTCATGTAGTTGACAAACCTCAATGTGAAATCCAAGCAGGAATGCTAAAGTAGTGAATTTGTTACTGAGATGCAGTACAGGCATAGTGGGGACATCATTTATGCAATATAATAAAAAACATTACATATGATATATTGGCAATATATGAAGCCATGTGCACATTTACACCAAGTGACAGCCCAGGGACAGGTAGATTAGTCTAAAATTACCAGCAGGATCCATCTTTTCACTTTCACCTTTGTGCACTGTTCTCTCTTTACCACTCTGTTTCTATTGATCTCACTTTGAACATTAGGATGCTCAAGCAATTCTCTTGCCTGCATATCATGCATTTCAGGTGATGGCTATGCTGAGCTGCTATTTATTCTATAGCACTACTCTCTGCTGACTTCTTTGGAGAAGCAAGCAGCCCAGCAGCTTGCCAATGAAGTGCTTTTGATGTCTCAAGTCACCTTCAAAAATATCAGGTTTTAATAATTTTCCACTAGCACTCCTGCCTTTTGGGAACAGGAGGATGAAGAGGACCCAGAAACACAATACATCTAAATTACTTTCAGCACAGCAGAGCAGAGTGGCAGCTTCTGGGAGCCTGCTAGCAAGGCCACCTTATTTCCCAAAGTGCCCCACGTGTGGGAACACTGCATGGCTAATTTGCCAATTTGCTTTGATGTCAGTGCAGCTGAGTGCTGCTGTTCCAAATGAGGAGTTTATACAGCGGTTTCCAGCTCTGTAGCTCTCAAAGATCTAGGGTGTGCAGGATCAAATGGGTCCTGGAACCAGATACCCCATGTGATGGCCTTTGCATCAATATTCTTGTTACTGAGATCCTGAAGAATTTCTTCTGCCAGATCTCTGAGAAAGCTGCAGTAACTCTGGGAAATTCACAACTTTGTAAACATTTGCAGCTTCCTCTTAAAAGTACTAGGGTGCAGGTTATAACTAATAAAATGAGACTAATGGTCTCTTACTACAAATGCAAAGTATAATATTTGATACCTATGGATCTTAACTGGAATTCCAGAACTGAATATATTCAAGAAGTTCAGACATTTGCATTTAGATCCTGCTTGAATAAATTCCTATGATTGCTGAGTGGCCCTTTAAGTCTTCCTTTTGGCCTCAGCAAAATTATTTAAGTGCAAATGAGGCATTGCTTTCTTTGCAGTTTTCCCAGACAGATTTTGAAAAGTTACCTGATGGAAAGAGGCAAAACAGTGAAAAGACTTCAGTGCTACGCAGCTGACTTCTTCTTTCATCACAGAATAATGTACACAGAAATCAATTTTCCACATGCACCAAACAACTGACCAAGCACTGACCTAGATATACCAGAAATAAATTATCATTTCAGAAGAAAATTCAGTCTCTCTTCTGAAATAAAATTAACCCCTAATACTGCATTTGTTAAGGGGGTTTCTGTGGTAAATAGCAGCTTCTATATGTCACTATTTGGAATCACAGTTTTTATTACCTTATTTCAGAATGTATTGAGTTTACTGGAAAATGTGAAGTGATGATATTCTATTTATAGCTGTGCCATGATGATGAAGTGGCATTACTGTAAGGTATAATTATGGTGAGTTACTACTGGCCTTATTAGAAGCATGTCTTGACTTTAGTCTCTATTACCAGCTGAGCTTGGACACTCCTCTGACTGCAAAATGGCTGTTTTATCTTGATCTGCCTATCCTTATTATCCTCCTCACCTTTTCTGCTGTTCTCAAGAATTCTGCCAAGTGCAAACATTTATTTCCTTTTTTCCTTATATTTGTATGAAATGGCATTAGATGGTCTTGAAATGGCATTAGATGGTGACGTTTTAAAAGAGAAAAACAGAAAAGCAAGGCAAAAAAAAAAATTATTACTGAAACACCTGTCTTGAGAGGATAATGGCAGGATTAAGAACTGGGTGCAAGAGTGGAATATTTGATAGGCATTTCCTCCATCCTCTCCAGGCTGCTTACAAGGGAACCACAAGTACTGGTGTGAAGCCACACTGAGGGCTGTGAAGCTGAGGTAGAATTTGTAATTATGAAAGGCTTTTGGGAAGGGCTTATGCAGTGACTGATTAGTGAGGCAGAAGGGCCAATTTTCCTCCTCTTCTGCCACTGAAGCTGCAGTGGTGCTGCATAAGGCTGCCTGTCTGTGACCAGATATTGTGTCTCCCTCCAGCTGCCTGCCAGCATGGATGGACAGATGTGCCACCATCAGTGTCCAGAGCTGGGGCAGGGGTGGCAAGTCTTGCTTGCTTGAATCAGAAAGGTTTAAATTTTCCCACCTAATTAGCTTCAGTGGAGCTGTAAAGCACAGTGCCTCAAGGTTGGCTTTGAAGGCACTATTCTTCTAGCCTTTCTTCAGGCAGAGGGATGGATTATGTGACTTTTCATAACCCTTAGTAACCCTCTCTTCTACACTTTTTTCGCCACTGGTTTAATGCCTTAATAGTACTTTCTTGCAAGCAGCTTCATTTCATGAGTACACAATCTCTTATGACACATACATTTGCATTAGAGTTCTATTTTTTCCTCAACTTGGTAGTGGGAAATTTTCAGAGCTTCTCTGAAGTTAAATTTCCTTCTTCTATCCCTCTAGAAACATAAAATTTCTGCAGAATTTGACAGGAGTCAAAATAATGTTTTTTATGGGTCCAGAAAGATGTAATTGACTGAGTAGCTTCTTTTAGTCTTAACACAGGCATTTCTAATTACCTTAATGATGAGCAGAAATCCCTTAACTGAAAGTCATTTTGAGCATGCTTGACAAGGATGTTGCCTGAGCATTCCCAACTAGCTAATGAATTTAGTTACAACTTAGATTAAAAAAAACCATTCTTAAATCTATAGAACTTCCCCTTTTTTGGCCTTTAATTTTCTTCTGGCTTGTATTCTAGGAAAAAAATAATTGAAATGCTCATAGGTTCTTCCTATCTTGATGTAAAATATTGAACAGGGCTATGTATCATACAGCACCATGTTTGCTTTAGAAAAAGGTGTGAAGGATACATGAAAAACCTTCTAAATCAACAGCACTAGTAACAGATTTAATTCACTACCCGACCAGAGCCCATTTAATCGTGGTAATCTAGAACTGAAAGAATCATAGAAGAGTAATTACCTGTGGAATATTCCACCCCCATTTTACATGCTGCCCTATGTTTATCTAGTCTTTTACCACAGAATCACATGAAATCAGGAGATTTTATAACCTTCAGATCAGCAATGGTCACAAACATTCCTTCCATGCGTGGCAGGTTGAGGACTGTACTAAACATCATTTTAATGAAGAATAGCTGAACACAGTTACCAGTGAGATAAACTGTAGGAAAGCTACTTTACTGTACCTGGATCCATTTTGGTCTCATTTTCCTTTCTATTTCTGCTGTGTTTGCCTGGAGTTGCATCCTGAGCAGGGCCACAGCCTGGAACATGTTTGCAGTGCTGGAGATGCCACTTGTTCCTGGGACTGAAGTGCTCAACACTGGCCTGCAAGGGTTAATGACCAAATTACTCTCAGAGCTGTTGGCTCTCTTTAGCTGCCCATGCTCCATAAGGGAACTGTATTACATCCTAGTGGGTTGAGCACCTCTTTTTATTCTGAATTTCTGCCTTTTAACTCATAAAATGAGTGCTCCTGTGCCGCTCTTAAACAACACCTTTAAAAAGGGGCCTTTAAACCAGGCATTAATTGTAAAAAATGACTAAAATAGAAGTAGTAAGCTAAGGCTCCCTCACATGACACTGAGAGCCCTGGTAGGAAAGTAACCCCCAAACTGTTTGCCCCTTGCTCACAGTTAAGGGTTTGTCATGTACCCTGAAAGCAGGACAGCTTCAGAGATGGGGCAGACGTCCCACATGCTTGGGAGCCTTTATTCATTGAGTGATGAGCTTTTGAGGGCTTTAACTGATAACTTTGGGGTTATTTCTGCTAAGCCACTGAAGTTCCTGTGAAAGCAAAATTCAGCCCTTATCCTGTTTCAACATCCTTTTTGCTGTTTTACTCATTAGCTATATGTAATGCCCAATTGCATCTGAGCTCACAGTTGCCCAGGATTCACTGAGTTTGTTCAAACAGAACTGCACTAAAATCCAATTTCTAAGCTTATGATTTTGTAATTAGCAGCCCAAACCCATACAGACTGGATCTTTCAAGTATAGATTAATTTTCCTGACTGTGAAAAAAGGTAGATATGCACAGGCAAGCTGCTTTGTGTGAATGACTCCAATGTCAAGAACAGAATTTTAAAATTTCAAAAACAAGATGGTGAACATTAACATACCCTCTGTAAATCATGAGACCAGAAATTAGAGTTACTTCAGACATGCTTAATGGGTGCCACCTATTCTGTTAAATTTACCATTATTACACCAGGTATGCCATCAGAATTTCATCTATATGAATTTTGAATTCTGAAATTTAAAGAAACCATTCTGAATTTTAAAGAAACCATTTTTGAATGCAGTTCCATTGAAAGAAGACAAAATGGAAATCAGAGGCAGAGAGTGCACTCAGTTCTTTACCCCATGATTTTTGGTCCTTTGAGAAGTTTCAAGCAGAAATAATTTTGGAGTTCAATCTCCCATTAGCCACTAAGCAATTAATGGAATGATCTCAAATTCCTCCCCCATGCCACTTTATTGTATTTACATTTACCTAATTAATCTAAACAAATAATCTAGAATTTTTCATAGTAAATAAACACATTGTACAAACAAAGGAACAGCAGCTGATAACTAATTAACTGATATGTCTAATTCACGGCATAATAGAGACCAAATGTATATCATAATCAGGCTTCTGGAGTATTTGATAATACCAGCAACAATGCTTGTGAAAATTCTGCCCACACACATCCTACATTTAGGAGAGATTAAAAATATAATGAAAGCAAGGAAAATATTTCTGTGGAATGCAAGAACTCTGGCTCATGCCTCTGTCAGAGTCAATTTGCATGATGCTGAACTTAGCAGTAAATACAAAATCTGAAACACAAACAGAAAAGATTTTTTTCTTTTGCAATATATTCTCCTCAAGCTCATGGTCTTCAGATCCCATCTGGATTTCCCAGTTTTTTTTACTCACTCCCAGCTGTCACTTTATCATCTGTTGTATAAAGATATTTAATTATGGGCTGCTGTGGAAGATATTCAACAGAGATATCCCTACCTACAGCAGAGTAGTGAAAGAATTAACGATGCCTCTTTTCAGTTTCATTTACCATTTTCCCTTGATCAAAATATCAGGTTTCATGATTTCACTAATTGATAGCCCAGTACTCAGAAATATCAGAGCTATCAGAGCTGAATAATCAAAATATTATTAGGGGTTTATAAGGCTGTCTACCACAAGTAGTCATTAGAGGACTTCAGCTGTGTCTTCCAACTATTTCCACATACATCTAAATTGCAATGATTTAGTCCTTGAGCCCTGATTAATAAAAGCAGGGTGTGCCAAGTTACTCACTCAGTTTCAGTAATTATGAGGCCTAAGAGAAAGATTTTGAAAAATGACAGAGAAGCTGATTTTTCTTAACCCAGTTTAAAAGGAATAAAAATCTTGGCAGTATATGAAGCTAGCACTACTCAAGCACTGAAAAATCAGATTTTATACTGTTTATCAGAGGAGAATATTGACACCAAGTCATTCCTGTGGCCTCAGGGGAGACAGTCCTTTACAGGCTGCCCTCCTATATTTGGTTACAGAGAGTCTAAACACAAGAGTTTCTACCTTCTAAAATCTGACAGAAATTACAAGCCTGAGTTTATTTTTAACATGTTTGTTAGCTTTGGGTGTAGATTAGATCTTAACCTCTTTCTATTTATTCCTTATATTAGTCTCATATCTGATTTAGGGTTAAAATCATCTTCTCATCAGGGATTGTATTTTCAGGGAAACCTGGAGTGTTTCTAATTTTGCTTTAAAATGTTCAAACACCTTGCAAAAGTAGGTTAGCATTCTAATAAAAATGGCTTTGGGTTTCCCTCCTCTGTTGTGCCATTGTAAAGTCACTGACTTTAAGGAAACACTATGGAAACTCTGGTTTAAAGAAACATACCTCAGCCTCTAAGCAGCTGCAACACCACCATGATGTCAAGGCTGAATTCCAGTACTTACCTGAATTGTTTAGCAGGTTAGAAGACACTAAAGCTTGGGCAGCCAGCTTTACATTAGCCAGAAAGTGTTCTCAAATAAAAATCTGCTAAGAATGTTTATGATGGGATCAGAAATATGCCAGCAACGTAATTTTCTATTTATGTATTCTTGAGCAAAAGATTTAAACAGATTTATCGCACTACATAATTTAAATAGCAATCATTTGGATCCACTTAAGAAGTTAGAGCCATGAATAAACATAAAATAAATAATTGCATATCCAAACACATCTTTTCTCCTTTAAAGCGACCATGTCTTCATTAGTACACAAACACTGGGCCGCTTGAAAGTCTGAGCAGGATCAGGGCTGGCAGTTTTCCTTCAGGGCCTGCACCAGGACAGGAGGATGTGAGGCTGGTGGCAGCAGCAGCATCATTCAGCTCTGCTTGAGTTGGGTATCTGGGTGCAACATAAGGCACATGTATCTTTCAAAATGCCCAAGGGCAAGCTAAGCATCTACACCAGGAATTATTGTATTGCATACATGCAAACAGAACTTTCACCACTCATACAGCTTTTATTCTTTGCTCTTTCAGACAGGTCCTGCTAAATTTTAAATGTTTGAACACTCCTCAGATTTGGACATTGCCACTTTATGTCTGTAGAAAAGAGCTACTTCATTGGATTTGCCCTCTAAATAATTCACAGTTTGTACTAAAATGAGGGCACATTTTTAGCTCTGGAACATCCTTTTCCTGTCCTGCCATTTCCATGGTACAGAGCTATTTGTACAACCACAATCTTTAGTTAGGCAGTAATTTTTAAAAAAATGAATTGCTGTATTTGTAGCCTCACGCTACACAATTTAAACCCAAGATTTTCCCAATATTTATGCTTGGCAGTCACAATTGCATACTTGTCCAATGAAAAATTTTGTATCAGCTCTAACAGTCATTTAGGTCTCAGGTTTTCTGTTTCAATAGCACATATACAGGAAATTAGAAGAATTAAAAACCAGTGTTAGTGTTCAAAACAAGGTATGAACACATACCACATAAAAAGTTCCATGATTAATATCTAAAATACAAATGTGTGGAGAAACACTTTGGGAAAAATGTTTGCGAACATTTGGGAAAAAAACTTTGGGAAATTATGTACTGCTTTATTTTTAAAAATCTTAATTAAGTGAGAGATAAAAGAAGTAATTTCTAAATTTTGTATTAAAAGATCCTCAGAATAACCCCTTCCCTTAGAATCAGGCTCTTCATTCATGCACATGTACACCATGGATGAATTAACAGGAGCTTTGATGGTGTCCTAGCAGTGCCAGTCTACAGAAAGCAGGAATGGCACCTGCCATACATGAAATTATGACAAGGGAGACCAAAACTAATGTAAAGCTTAGTGTTGACACAGGAAGGAAGGAAAAGCACCCTGCACTGATTGCTGCTTCGTGTGCTGCAGGTTGTTCTGTATGACACCTGGCTTTTCAACAACGAGGAGCAATTATTTACAAAGGTCACAGAATCTCCTAAAAATTCTCCTCAAAGTACTTCAATTGGTGTGGGATTGCTACTCTCTTTTAAATTAGTTGTTTTGTTACTACCCTCTTTCTGTAAAAAACGCAGGCTAGGCTAGGATTGAATAGGGCCATCCCTTGCCTGTCCCCCCTCCTTCCCTTCACACTCTGCTCTAAAGATGCACAAATATTAAAAAATGAAAAATTATGGATATATATATATAAATGCATATAGACCTTAAAATAAGTTGCTAGAAGGCAATTTATGCTTTGACAGCATCTCATTACCCTGGGATTTCACAAGGGCTGACCCTTAAGAACAGACTTTAACACTGCTCTTGTCAAATGTTTCCCACTGGAACCGTTTCTTTATTTCTCAGCCTCTGACAGCCTTTAAGAAATCTAAATTCTATAGCTTTCCAGATAACAAACCAGGCTACAACCTGATCTCACTAAGAGCAGTAATTAGGAAGTGAGAAAGCTGAGTTTATGGTAACAGGAACTTTTTTAGGAGAAACCCAGGAGGACAAACATTAGTACCAAGAGTTAATCTTGTCAGTCCAGCACCTTTCTTTAAACTCAAAGAGAAAGACCACCTTATTTCTATTTCCAGTCACCAATAGATTTCAAATAGAGATTACAGGATTGTTGCTACCTGTTCCATAGAAAGGACACTGCTTTTCAATTCTTTGTTTTGCCTTACAGCAGCGACTGGCAAAAGTGAAAAGATCACAAAAGGGCAACTAAAATAGTGCTTTTTCTTGCAGGCAGAGAATGAGAAAGAAAGAGAGAGATATCTGTGCAGGACAGTCTATAAGACTGAAATACCTCAGCAATGTTGGCTCTCTGAGCTATATTGAGGCCAGGACCTTT